GAACCCTGTGGACTCAAACATTGACCAAACTTGGCACACAGAACTCCCATGACCAACAGAAAATACTGGAAGGGTTTTGTGGGCATTGACCTTGAGTTTGGGAGTTGTAGTTCATCGACATCCAGAGAGCCCTGTGGACTCAAACATTGACCAAACTTGGCATGCAGACCTCCCATGACCAACAGAAAATACTGGAAGGGTCTGGTGGACACTGACCTTGAGTTTGGGAGTTGTAGTTCATCGACATCCAGAGAGCACTGTGGACTCAAACATTGACCAAACTTGGCACACAGACCTCCCATGACCAACTGAAAATACTGGAAGGGTTTTTGTGGGCATTGACCTTTGGAAGTTGTAGTTCATCGACATCCAGAGAGCACTGTGGACTCAAACACTGACCAAACTTGGCACAAATATTCCATATGCCCAAATATGAACACAGATGGAGTTTGGGGAAAATAGACCTTGCCCTCTGGGAGTTGTGGTTGCTGGGATGTATAGTTCACCTAGAGTCAAAAAGCATCCTGAACCCCACCAACGATAGAATTGGGCCAACTTCCCACACAGAACCCCCATGACCAACAGAAAATACTGTGTTTTCTGATGGTCTTTGGCGACCCCTCTGACACCCACTCACGACCCCCTCAGGGGTCCCAACCCCCAGGTTGAGAAACGCTGTGCTACTAAATGGCTCACAAGCTTGGAATACCAGAAGTAGCTTTACCTGTTTTTAACAAAGGCGTGGGAAAAGCCGTTAAAATGTGCGTAAAATGAATGTCTGATCTCTCAGCTCAGGGCGGAAAATCTTTTTTTCATGTCAGGAGCGACTTGAGAAACTGCAAGTCGCTTCTGGTGTGAGAGAATTGGCCATCGGCAAGGACATTGCCCGGGGGACATTGCCCGGATGTTTTGATGTGTGACCATCCTTGTGGGAGGCTTCTCTCATGTCCCCGCACGGGGAGCTGGAGCTGACAGAGGGAGCTCATCTGCGCTCTCCTCAGATTTGAATCTGCAACCTGTCGGTCTTCAGTCCTGCCAGCACAAGGGTTTAACCCACTGCGCCACTGTGGGTTATTACCCAAATAATAGGTAGACCTTAAGGCTTAGTTACGAATTTAGTATGTACTGGTAAAGAAGCAAATAGGTTTGCATGTTCTGTGAAGTTACAATGCCTACTTTTCCCACCACATATGTGAAGTAGTGTGCTGCCTAAAACCCTGTGTTGTGCAAGGAGCTGGTGGCGCAACACTTTCAGATAATACATTGGATTCTGAGAAATGCAGAACCCAAGTCTTATACAAGAAGTGGCTTCATTTTAATAAAGATTTGGCATTGTTTTGTAATCTGGGCAGCTGGGAATCCTAGAGTTGGAAGGGACCTCGGGGGCCATCCAGTCCAACCTCATTCTGCCAAGAAGCAGGAATATTGCATTCAAATCACCCCCGACAGATGTCCATCCAGCCTCTGTTTCAAAGCCTCCAAAGAAGGAGCCTCCACCACACTCCAGGGCAGAGAGTTCCACTGCGGAACAGCTCTCACAGTCAGGAAATTCTTCCTCATGTTCAGATGGAATTGCCTTTCTTGTAGTTTGAAGCCATGGCTCCATTGAGTCCTAGTTTTCAGGGCAGCAGAAAACAAGCTTGCTCCCTCCTCCCTGTGACTTCCTCTCACCTATTTATGCATGGCTATCATGTCTCCCCTCAGCCTTCTCTTCTTCAGGCTAAACATGCTCAGCTCTTTAAGCCGCTCTTCATAGGACTTGTTCTCCAGACCCTTGATCATTTTAGTCACCCTCCTCTGGACACTTTCCAGCTTGTCAACCTCTCTCTTCAATTGTGGCGCCCAGAATTGGACACAATATTCCATGTGTGGTCTAACCAAGGCGGAATAGAGCATGGGGAGCAGGACTTCCCTAGATCTAGGCACTAGGCTCCTCTTGATGCAGGCCAAAATCCCATTGGCTTTTTTTGCCGCCACATGACATTGTTGGCTCATGTTTAACTTGTTGTCCACAAGATCTTTTTCACACGTCCTGCTCTTGAGCCAGGCATCGTCCCCCATTCTGTCTCTTTACATTTCGTTTTTTCTGCCTAAGTGGAGTATCTTGCATTTGTCCCTGTTGCACTTCATTTTGTGAGTTTTGGCCAATCATCTCTCTAATCTGTCAAGATCGTTTTGAATCCTGCTCCTGTCCTCTGGAAAATCGCATTCAAAGCACCCCAGACAGATGGACATCCAGCCTCTGTTTAAAAGCCTCCAAAGAAGGAGCCTCCGTCACACTCCGGGGCAGAGAGTTCCACTGCTGAACAGCTCTCACAGTTAGGAAGGAGATGATGGGAAGAAGGAACTGCCAAAACATAACCTCCTTGTGACCTTTCTGTTCCGAGAACAGGATAGGGAAATAGGATCCTAGTGAACACACACATTTGGGAAAAACTTTGTGTCCTTTTTTTTTTTTACTTGAAGGTGAAACTGAAACTGAGATATGATGACTTGCTTAGCCATAGCAGTAGAGTCCAACAGTCAAACTAAAAAAGGAGTCTTCTCTCTGAGCTGCTAAATTTTTGGGTGGAAGGAGATTTTTATTGCTGGCCTAGAGAAGGAAACATCCACATTCAAATTCCCTTAAGCCTGTGTTTCTCCACCTTCCTAATGCCGTGACCCCTTAATCCAGTTCCTCATGTTGTGATGACCCCCCAACCATAACATTATTTTCATTGCTACTCATAACTATAATTTTGCTACTGTTATGAATCATAATGTAAATATCTGATATGCAGGATGTATTTTCATGCACTGGACCAAATTTAGGACATATACCCAAAACACTCAATTTTGAATACTGGTGGGGTTGAGGAGGACTGATTTTGTCTCTTGGGAGTTGTAGTTGCTGGGATTTATAGTTCACCTACAATCAAAGAGCATTCTGAACTCCACCAACGATGGAATCAAACCTAACTTGGCACACAGAACTCCCATGACCAACAGAAAATACTGGAAGGGTTTGGTGGGCATTGACCTTGAGTTTTTGGAGTTGTAGTTCACCTATATCCAGGGAGCACTGTCGACTCAAAACAATGATGGATCTGGACCACATTTAGCACAGATACTCAATAGGCCCAAATATGAACACTGGAGAAGTTTGGAGAAAATAAACCTTGACATTTGGGAGTTGTATTTGCTGGGATTTATAGTTCACCTACAATCAAAGAGCATTCTGAACCCAACCAACAATGGAATTGAACCAACCCCGGCACACACAACTCCCATTACCAACAGAAAAAATACTGAAAAGGTTTGGTGGGAATTGACCTTGAGTTTTGGAGTTGTAGTTCTCCTACATCCAGGTAGAGCACTGTGAACTCAAGCAATGCTGGATCTGGACCAAACTTGGCACAAATACATTATGCCCAAATGTGGACACTGGTGCAGTTTGGAAAAAATAGACCTTGACATTTGGGAGTTGTAGTTCCTGTGATTTATAGTTCACCTACAACCAAAGAGCATTCTGAGCCCCACCGATGATAGAACTGGGACAAACGTCTCATACAGAACCCCCATGACCAACAGAAAATACTATGTTTTCTGATGGTCTTTGGTGACCGCTCTGACACCCCCTCGCGACCCCCTCCCAGTGGTCCCAATCTCCAACTTCAGAAACTCTGTCTTAAGCAACCTTCCACAGATATATAAAACCAATGTTTTTAGTTTCCAACAAACCTCACTACCTCTGAGGATGCTTGCCACAGATGCAGGCGAAATGTCAGGAGAGAATGCTTCAAGAACATGGCCGAAAAACCTACAACAACCCAGTGATTCTGGCCATGAAAGCCTTTGACAATATTTATTTATTTACTTATTATATTTGTATACCACCCTTCTCAGCCCTTAGGCGACTCATAATAGATGATTCTTCAGTTTAACAGCTGAGTTACCTGTGTGCCATTACATTAATGCTTATGAATATCACTTGTTCAAAGGGTTGACTTCTAACAAGGTCATGCTTTTCCTGACTGGTGGTTTTCAAAAGGTGGTCTCCACATGTTCACGGAGATTCACCTTTGCCAAACGGATGTGACATCATTTTTACCTTTTTAATAAGGTTATGGTGCAGTTATTTCCAATAGGTTATGGAATCTATATAAATAAAAATGTCATGTTCGTTTGAGGGATTAACAGAACTCAAAAACCACTGGACGAATTGGCACCAAATTTGGACACAAGGCACCTAACAACCCAGTGTATGTCCTTCACTCAGAAATTTTGATTTTGTCATTTGGGAGTTGTCGTTGCTGGGATTTATAGTTCACCTACTATCAAAGAGCATTCTGAACCCCACCAACGATGGAATTGAACCAAACTTGGCACACAGTTCTCCCATGACCAACACAAAATACTGGAAGGGTTTGGTGGGCAGTGTCCTTTGGTTTTGGAGTTGTGGTTCACCTACATCCAGAGAGCACTCTGGACTCAAACAATGATGGACCTGGACAAAATTCTACACGAAGACTCAATATGCCCAAATGTGAACACTGGTGGAGTTTGGGGAAAATAGAATCTTGACATTTGGGTGTTGTAGTTGCTGGGATTTATAGTTCACCTACAATCACAGAGCATTCTGAATCGCACCAACGATAGAATTGGGCCAAACCTCTCACACAGAACCCCCATGTGGGCCACAGCAACGCGTGGCAGGGGATGGCTAGTTTCCAATAAAAAGAGATTCCACCTAAACATTACGAGGAAAAAGTCCTGATGGTAAGGGCTGTTTGGCAGTGGTCTTTATTGGAGCCGGGTGGAGTCTCCTTCTGTGGAGATCTTTAAGCAGAGACTGGATGGCCATCTGTTGAGAGCCCTTGGATTGTGTTTTCCTGCATGGCAGAATGGGGCAGCACTGGATATCCCTTGAGGTGCCTTCCAATTCTAGAATTCTATAATTTTATGAAACGTGATGTTTTTGGATAACTGACATTCTTCTTTTTTCTTTCTCCCTCTTCCAGAATATCCGGTGTGGTTCTCTTGCTGTCTATCTCAGACCTGAAGCAGAGGCATAATGGCGGAGAAGCGTCACCTGGGCTCTGTGGGCACCGTGAGCTACAGCAAAATCCCTCGTCTGACGGCGGAACCGGACCAACGTCTCGCCGCAGATTTCTGCAAGTCAGGCGATCTGCCCAACTATGCCTCCGAAAGTTGTTATGGCTACAAGGGATCCTACTTCTCTTACCCTCTGCGCTACCACGACGGTCCCAAACCATTGACTCACTGGACTCCCCCTGAGGCCTTCCCGCATTGCGTGGCTGGTACAGCAAGTCCTCAGCTGAAAACAGAGAAGGCCTTTTGCATGTTGGAAAGCTTTGTGGCACGGGGGCAGGCTCTTGGGCATGAGAAGAGCAACGAGTACGCATCCCGAGATGCATTCAATGCGCAGGAGAGGTGGGCTGGCTACATGGGCTATCCAGGTTACGTCCCACAGGGCTGGATCCACGGCTATATGGCGCAGCACTCTCCCCGAGCACCCTTGGCAATGCCCAAGCCCATTTACCGGCACCATGTTTACAGCCCCGAGTCTGGTTACAGCCTCAAAAGCTCCCTCGATTTGGGAATGGTGACGGAAAGTGCCCTGAAGCCACCGCTGGGCACGGAATGGCCTGCGCCTCCATCGGGACACTCGAACTGCACAGAGAACTCGGGTTGTGGTACTTCCGTATCCAAGAAAGCAGCCACTTTCCCACAATTATCTCCAAGGCCCCAAGATGCGGCTAGCTTTTCCCCTTATCGCAAGTCCTTTGAACAATGCCAAGCTGAGCAAACGGCTTCCTTTCTGGAAGGAAGCTACTCCAGCATGTACAACAGTCAGAAGAACATCTCCGAAATGCATGGAAACGGTTTTGGCAAACACTCTTGGCCTAAGCTACCTCCTGCCAGCCCAATGGCACATCCTCCATCCTTGATGTACCAAGATAGGTCAACCGCATGCTACCCACTCGCCTCCTACCCACTGATATCCCAGGAGCAAATGTACCTCTATCATCCAAGTTATGCACAGGCAGAAAGGCCAAATTCATTTCCAGCCTGCAAAAGCTTTGACTCTCCAGGAACTGACGAGTCCTCAATCCATCCAGGATCTTATTTTTCTCCTCCAACGCCTGGGAGTTACCATCCCAGCCATTTGGAGAGCTACCCCTACATGCGGACTGGGCCTCCAATGACTCCTCGGCTTTCAAAGGAACAAGAGCACCAACCACGTTCAATTGCTAAAGTGGCCCGATCTCAGAAGACTTCCTACGGAGCTTCTTTGTCCCCTAGAGACTGGCACAAAGACAAGAGGGTCCCAGAGCAAGCCAAGGAGGACTTTCCGAGCCAACAGCCAGCTTCACAATCTGGGACTTTGCAGCGGCTTCACTCCTTGGACCGGTCGCCTGGCTTCTTTGGTGACTTTGCGCAAATCCAAGAGACCGACTCTGGAGTGAGCGTTTGCCCTTCAGAGAAGGCAAAGACACGGGGAAAGGATCCCTCTCAAGTACCCAAACCATCCTCGTTAAGTTGTGATGCCAAGAAGAAAAGTGTTGACAATCACAAAATGGAATCGGAAGCTTGTATAATTATTTCTGACAGTCCAGGCACGCCCCGCAGTTCCTGCTATAAGACAAGTCAAGAAGCCCTAGATGTTCCAGAAGGCTTGGCTCCCTCTCTCCACAATGGACCACAGTCCCCTAAAGGAAGGGGGAAAGGTGTAATTAAGGGACCCGAGACCCCACAATCTCCACCTTCTCCTCCTATGCCAGTGATCAACAATGTCTTTAGCTTGGCACCTTACCGGGATTACCTCGAAGGTTCTTCAGTCTCTCTGGAGATCCCAATTTCTAAAACTAGCCACTTGGAAGTGACTTCTCCAAAGGACAGAAGTGTGGACGCCCCCCATTCGGCACAGCCAAATGATCCCATGTCATCAGAAGTCCTCAGGGACAAAGATGTTGGCAACACAATGTCAGAAAGGAACAAAAGGGAGCAGAGTAACAGTTGCATCAAGAGAGAGAATGGAGACGGTGTTGTGACCTGGGACAACATTGGGCCCCCAGTATTGTCTCCACAGGGTTCTGTGTCTAGCCAATCTCCCTCAAATAGTTGTGTGACAGGCCAGTCTGAGGAAATGGAGCATGGCGATTGTGTGCTAGACCTCAGCTGTAAAACGGAGACCTCAGTGGACAATCCAAGTGGTCATCAGAAAGGAAGCTCCAAAAGCAATGGAACTGAGGTGGGAACAATATCATCCAATGGACCAGAACTGTTACAAGAAACTAACAGGCCAGTTTCAGAGATGCCTGTGCAAAACAGCTCCGAAAAAAGGGGCCATTTTCAGAGCTCTGCAACATTCCTGTTCAAAAAATTCAAGATCCGCAAATCCCCGTCAACGGAGACAGGCTTGGTTGTGCAGCGAACCCCTTTGTTGTCGCCAACTTCCCAAATTGCTGTTTCCCCCAATGGTGTCTGCTCTGTGCCACAAGGCCTTGAGCAAGTGGCAACTCAGCAAAACTGCCCAATTGTTCCCCAAAGTCCGCTCCAAAACAGCCCAAGAGAACGACAAAGCCCCCATCAAGGGGCAACTCACTCACCGGTTCAAGACGTGACGCAGCAAAGCTGTCTCCAGGTGGCTACTCAGCCTGAAACAATGCAAAGTTTGCAATTGCAATGTGTGAACATCCAGCTGCCGGATATGTCAACAGTTTTGCTTCCTAGCACAACAGCAGGGTCTCCTGTCCTGGAGACAGCCAATGTTTCCCCTCCTGCCAGTGACAAACCTCCAGAACCACAGAGTTCCCCTGGGCAGTATTTCACCAACTTGCATTCCTCCGTCTGCGCTGTCATCTCCTGTTCGGTGTCTGCGTCCTCTCCAGAGCAGCTCAAGGAGTGGCTGGAGAAGGCCGAGGCTGAGAAAGCCCTCAAGGAGAAGGCCCTGGGTTCGGCCAAGCACAAGAATGGCGTGAAGGCCTCCGACGCTGCCAAACCGTCCAAGGGCAAGCAGGTGTGGCTGGCCTTCAAGGACGTGGTGGCCCTCTTTCGGAAGCTTCTCTCTCAGCTGGACACCTTCTTGCTCACCCACAAGTGCCCCTTCCCTCACGTGGTCCGTGCCGGAGCCATCTTCATCCCTATCCATGTGGTGAAGGAGAAGCTCTTCCCGAACCTCCCTGGGACTTCTGTGGACCACGTGCTGCAGAACCACAAGGTCGAGCTGCGTCCTACCACGCTCTCCGAAGAGAAGCTGCTGAGGGAGTTGGAGCTGAAAAGTTGCACCTCTCGAATGTTGAAGCTCTTGGCCTTGAAGCAGCTGCCGGACCTTTACCCGGACCTCTTGACCCTTCACTGGCACAATTGCATCAAGCAGCAGCTTGGTAAGTGCCACTAAAGCAGCGTTTATCAACCTGGGGGTTAAGACCCCTGGAGGGGGTTGCAAGGGGAGTTGAGCGGGGTCGCCAAAGACCATCAGAAAACATATATATCTGATGGTCTTAGGAACTCCTTTTGCAAAGAAGATGTATTTATTTATTTATTTATTTACTAGCCATCCCCTGCCACGCGTTGCTGTGGCCCAGTCTGGTGATTTGGAAAAGTAAAAGAGGGCTTTGGTTATGTTTTCTTGCCCTGGTGAAGGGAGTTGGACGGGCTGGCCTTAAGGCAGCATTTCTCATCCTGGGGGTCGAGTTCCCGGGCGGTGTCGCTGCGGGGGGGGGGGGTGTCAGAAGGGTCATCAGAGATCACCAGAAAACACAGTATTTTGTGTTGGTCATGGGGATTCTGTGTGGAAAGTTTGGTCCAAATCTATCAGTGGGGTTCAGAATGCTCTTTGATTGTGGGTGAACTATAAATCCCTGTAACTACAACTCCCAAATGTCAAAGTCTATTTCCCCCAAACTCCATCTGTGTCCATATTTGGGCATATGGAGTATTCTTGCCAATTTTTGCCTAGATCCATCACTGTTTGACTCTACAGTGCTCTCTGGATGTAGGTGAACTACAACTCCAAAACTCAAGGTCAGTGCCCACCAAACCCTTCTAGTATTTTCTATTGGTTCAATTCCATCGTTGGTGGAGATCAGAATGCTCTTTGATTGTAGGTGAACTATAAATCCCAGCAACTACAACTCCCAAATGACAAAACCATTTTTTTTGAGTGAAGGACATACATTGGGTTGTTAGGTGTCTTGTGTCCAAATTTGGTGTCAATTTGTCTATTGTTTTTTGAGTTCTGTTAATCCCACAAATGAACATTACATTTTTATTTATATATAGATTTATTTATTTGCTATATTTCTAACCCGCCCCTCTCAGGCCAGAGGCGGCTCAGAGCAGTTCACAAATTGGCAACAATTCGATGCCTCAACAATTATAACAAGTCAAAGCAATGAAGAAATTCTGTTAAAAACAATAGCATCTATATAAATAAAAATGTAATGTTCATTTGTGGCATCAACTTAACTCAAAAACCACTGGGTGAATTGACGCCAAATTTGGACACAATACACCTCTCAGGCCAACGAGTGACCATCACTCATAAAAACACTGGAAAACACAACATAAGGGACTTAAAAGCCAAAAAATTTAAAAAATTACAATGCATGTGCAAAACCACATATACACATTATGATGGCATATACACATGCAAAACACATATACACAGACTGGGCCACAGTAACACGTGGCATGGGACGGCTAGTCTATATAAATAAAAATCTAATGTACGCCCCTAAATGCACTTTTTAGTGATCTAGGATTGTCTGCACGCTCTATCCCTCTCCAAAATTTCTATCCTGTTTATATGTCACCTGGTCACGCCCAGCATTAATTTTTTAAAATTTTAATTAGTACATTTGGCCCTGCCATAGGTGTTTAAACGTTGTTGTTTTATTGTTAATGTTTATTGCTATTTTCTGTTTATGAGTTTATTTATTGTTTGTATTACTGTTGCTATTGTTTTTATTGTTTTGTTGTGGGCTTGGCCTCATGTAAGCTGCACCGAGTTCCTTGGGGAGATGGTAGCGGGGTACAAATAAAGTTTTATTATTATTATATTATTATAAATTTGTGGGGTTAACATATCTCAAAAACCACTGGAAGAATTGACACTAAATTTGGACACAATGCACCTCTCAGGCCAATGAGTGACCATCACTCATAAAAACACTGAAAAACCCAGTGGAAGAGACTTAAAAAGCCAAAAAAGCAAAAAGACACTACAGTGCATGTGGAAAACCATATATATACACACAAAAAACACACAATAGCATATCCACACACCATAGATGGAGATGTGATCGCGAAGATAGGCAGGGCCCGAAAGAAAAAATCAACCCCCTCTACCCCACCAATATTGGGTATTTGTGCCAAATTTGGTCCAGTGAATGAAAATCCATCCTGCATGTCAGATATTTACATGACGATTCATAACAGTAGCAAAATTTCAGTTATGAAGTAGCAACACAAATAATGTTATGGTTCGGGGTCACATGAGAAACTGTATGACTGGATCACGGCATTAGGAAGGTTGAGAAACACTGAACTAGATCCTGGTTGGTTGCTTCAGGCATGGTAGGATGGTGGAAAACCATGGCCTTTTTGTCTAAGCAAAGTGTTTGGGGCTGAGATTACAGAAATGGAAGGTATTAACGTGCTTGACTTTGTTCTTCTTCACTTCTTCCACTCCATTAGGTGATTGCACCGGGGAGGTTTTGAATTGCAAGAGTCGGCAGTAGATGACCTGAAGTGGACAGAGGTGGGTCGGATGTTTACAGGACTTGAACCATGCCAGAGAGGTGGAAGCAAGAGAGAGAATGGAGATCCGCTCCTTGGAGAAAGTGTACAAACTGTCCTTCCTAGATCAGCTGTCTGGTGGACAATGAGCCTTCTGCCTTAAGCTTGATTTAAGCGATCCCTCGTTGTCCAAAGATGATGGTCCTCCAAGTGATGTGTCTTGGTGGTGGATACGTAGGTGGCTGTGGAGCATGTTCTCCTGCAGTGAGGGCATCGGTTTCCAGATGGAAGGCAGTCCTGCTCGAGGTTGGCTTGATGTGCCTTCCTCTTGGCACGTTTCTCCCTTTCGCCCTCCGTTTGAGCCTCTTCAAATTCTACAGCACTGCTGGTCGCAGCTGACCTCCAGCTAGAGCGCTCAAAGTGGGCAAAGAGGCGGCACGAGGAGGAAGTTTCCAAAGCTACAAAATTGTTTTTGACAGCCCATAACATGGCCAGCACTCTTCAAGTTCAGTTGACCAATACCTCAAAGGTCTTTCACCTTCAGAAATGGGTGGCCTGCATCAATGTCTGGAATGCCTTGCCGGACATCAGAGGACCTTCCGTCCTTAAGTTGTAAAGAATATGGCCTCATTTTCTGCTCTTTGGGTCAAAACTTGTGTTTGAGTACCCACCAGGAGAACTTCATTCTTTGTTTATCCCCTTTAAAGGACAATAATGATCCTAATGTGTATGTTTTGTTGCAAGAAGAATGGGATTGAAGGACTGCACCATCTCCAAAAAAAATGGTGGTAACCTAATTTTGGTATTTCAAGTTTGTGTGTATGTGGCTACAAATACCACATTTTAGAAATGTGATCCATTTGCCTTTATAAGGAGTTGCTGCTGCGTTGAGGTTGTCGTCCAAGACAGTTTACTCAGTTTTTGCAACTACTAACGACACACATTGAAATGGACCTCCAAGCTTTTCAATCAGGGTGCTTTGATCCAGCTCTTTAGTGACAAAGAAAGAGGGAACGACATATTAAAACTGGCAATTTGATAAACTGAAAAAAGTTTGTTCTTTTAATGTTGTGTAACCATATTGTAGAAGGCTTCCATGGCCGGAATCACTGCATTGCTGTGAGTTTTCCGGGCTGTATGGCCATGTTCCAGAAGCATTCTCTCCTGATGTTTCACCTGCATCTATGGCAGGCATCCTCAGAGGTTGCCTGCCGTAGATGGACAACCTCTGAAGATGCTTGCCACAGATGCAGGCGAAACATCAGGAGAGAATGCTTCTGGAACATGGTCATACAGCTCAGAAAACTCACAGCAACCCAGTGATTCCGGCCAGGAAAACCTTTGACAACATGTTGTTGTTGTTGTTGTATTGTCGAAGGTTTTCATGGCCAAAATCACTGGGTTGTTGAACATTTTTTTCGGGCTATATGGCCATGTTCTAGAGGCATTCTCTCCTGACGTTTTGCCTGCATCTATGGTAAGCATCCTTAGAGGTAGTGAGGATGCTTGCCATAGATGCAGGTGAAACGTCAGGAGATAATGCCTCTAGAACATGGCCATATGGCCTGAAAAAACCTACAACAACCCATTATTATTATTATTATTATTATTATTATTATTATTATTATTCTACAACAGCATTTCTCAACAGCAACCCAACAACAACAACAACAATAATAATAATAATAATTCTTACCTGCCTCTTCTCATGGCTCAAGGCGAGTTACAACATTGCTAAAACACATGATAATTTCGAAGTGGAATCGATGCATTTTGACACCACTTTGAACTGCCATGACTCCAGGCTATGGAGCCATGCAAGTTGTAGTTTTCAAAGGCCTTCAGCATTCTCTGCTCAAAGGCTCACCAAACTACAACTCCCAGAATCCCACAGCCTGGAGCCGGGGCAGTTCAAGCGGTGCTAAACAGCATGAACCTTGTAAAATGACATGGAATCCTGGAAGTTGTAGTTTGCTGCGGCTTCAGCCCTCTTTGGCAGAGAAGACAATGCAAAACTACAGTTGCCATCATCCCATAGGGTTGAGCCATGTCAATCTCCAGTTATGTTTACATCGCCCTTTTGCTCCGGCAATGTTATCCGGAGGCATTTTCTACTTGTTTTATTATTACTCTCCCATAGTTGGGAGTACAGAGAATACATTTCCCTCTTTCCTTTGTTGGGCAACATGAAGAAATACAATATTTTCCCCCCTCCTCCAAATAATGCTGGGTGGTCATTTGGTAACAAATGTTTGATACTGTACATTTTGTATAAAGTTGCAACGGAAGTATATTTGCCTTTTTATTTAAATAACATTTGTGGTTGTTACTGTTGTTTTGTTACAGTTACAGTTTCTAAGAGGTGCTTCGATGAAATTAAAATGTTTGTTTTGGAAGAGCTGTGTCTCTATATTATTATTTGGGGGTCTCCATTCCTTCTTCTTGTTCCTATAGCCCTGGTTTGCTTAGGTTTTCTTTCCCCGGAGGATTACTGTATATACTCGAGTATAAGCCTATTTTTTCAGCCCCTTTTTTAGGCTGAAAAAGCCCCCTTGACTTATACTCGAGTCAAGGTTATTTATTATTTTATTCTGTTATTAGTATTATTTATTATTTAATCTTTTACTCTATTTGTTATTATTATTACATTTACTCTATTATTATCCTTATTACATTTTTATTGTACTCTATTATTATTACATGTATTATTTTACTCTAATATTATTATTACTATTATTATTGTTACATTTATTATTTTACTCTAATATTATTATTACTATTATTATTGTTACATTTATTATTTTACTCTATTATTATTACTATTACTATTGTTACATTTCCATTATTTTACTCTATTATTATTACTATTATTGTTATTAAATTTGTTATTTTACTCTGTTATTACTGTTATTCTTACATTTCCATTATTTTACTCTATTATTATTTTATGACATTTATTATTTTACTCTATTATTATCATTATTACATTTATTTTTCTCTATTTATTATCATTTTATTACATTTTATTGTACTCTATTATTATTACATGTATTATTTTACTCTATTATTATTATTATAATATTAACATTCTATTACTCCATTATTATTTTACTCTACTTTTATTACTATTATTATTGTTACATGTATTATTTTACTCTATTATTATTACTATTATTGTTACATTTATTATTTTACTCTATAATTATTACTATTATTATTGTTACATGAATATCATGGTCTATTTCCTCCAAATTCCACCAGTATTCACATTTGGGCATATTGAGTATTCGTGCCAAGTTTGGGCCAGATCCATCATTGTTTGGGTCCACAGTGCTCTCTGGATGTAGGTGAACTATAAATCCCAGCAACTACAACTCCCAAATATCAAGGTCTATTTCCCCCAAACTCCGCCAGTGTTCACATTGGGGTATATTGAGTATCCATGACAAGTTTGGGCCAGATCCATCATTGTTTGAGTCCCCAGTGCTCTCTGGATGCAGGTGAACTACAACTCCCAAACTAAAGGTCAATGCCCACCAAAACCTTCCAGGGAACTCCAAAAATAGGTTATATCTTCCTTAATTTTGCCACTCATTCCAAGGCTTTTGAACCCAGGCTGACCTGCAATTTAACCTCCAGCAGCAATTAGCAGGTGATTAAACTCTATTTTCTTCCATTGCAAAGCCTTTCTTTTCACTTAAAGGGACAGGAACCAATCCCTCCCACCTGGAATATATCACTCTACCACCATAGCCTATTTTCCTCTTTTCTTTAAATCAGTGTTTCTCAACCTGGGGGTCGACCCGGTGAGGGGGTTTCACCCCACACATATTTCTGAGGGTCTTAGGAACCCCTTGGCAGAGAAGGCTGAAGATCTCTCCACCTCTACTTCTCTTCCTTTTTGCTATTGGTGAACTACAGCTTCCAGAATTCAAAAACAGCCCTCTTCCCCAAGCCCACCAGTATTCAACGTTGGCCATGTAGGTAATGTGCCAAGTTTGGTGCAGATCCATTGTGGGCTGGGTTCAGAGTGCACTTTGATTGTCGGTGAACTATAAATCCCAGCAACTACAACTCCCAAATGTCAAGGTCTATTTTCCCCAAACTCCACCAGTGTTCTCATTTGGGCATAATGAGTATTCATGCCAAGTTTGGTTCAGATCATCATTGTTTGAGTCCACAGTGCTCTCTGGATGTAGGTGAACTACAACTCCAAACTCAAGGTCAATGCCCACCAAACCCTTCCAGTATTTTCTGTTGGTCATGGGAGTTCTGTGTGCCAAGTTTGGTTCAATTCCAAGAGGAAAGGAAAGAAAAAGAGGGGAGGAAGGGAAGAGAAGAGAAGGAAGGAGAGAGAAGGAAAGAAAAAAGGGAAGGGGAGGGAGGAGGAAGAAAGAAGAAGAAAAGAAAGAAGGAAAGAAGAAGAAAGAAAGAAAGAAGAAAGAAAGAAGAAAGAAGAAAGGAAGGAAGAAGGGAGGGGAGAAAAGGGGGAAAGGGAAGAAGGAAAAAAGAAAAAAGGGGGAAGGAGGGAGGAAGGAAGGAAAGAAGGGAGGAGGGAAGGAAGGGAAGGAAGAGAAAGAAGGAGAAGAGAAAGGAAGAAAGGAGAAGGAGGGAAAGAAAAGGGGGAAGAAGGGAAGAAGAAGAAAGAGAGAAGGGAAAAAAGAGGGGAAGGAAGGGAGGAGGGAGGGAAAGAAGGAAGGAAGGAAGGAAGGAAGGAGGGAAGGAGGGAGGGAAAGAAAAGGAGAAGGAAGGGAAGAGAAAGAAAGGAGAAGAAGGAGGAAGGGAAAGAAAAAGGGGAAGGAAGGAAGGAAGGAAGGAGGAAGGAAGAAAGAGAGAGGGAAGGAAGGAAGGAAAGGAGAGAAAGAGGGTGGGAAGGTTGGCCACAGCAACGTGTGGCAGGTACAGCTAGTAAACTATAAATATACATAAACACAATATACTTTGGTTGTGTCTTCCTGCTTGGCGGATTAGGGTTGGATTGGATGGCCTTTAGGGTCTTCTCCAAATGCATGATTTCTTTCAACAAGGCCTGCACAACCTGCAGCTCTCCAGACTGGGCCACAGCAATGCGTGGCAGGGGATGGCTAGTAATCTATATATATACAAACACACATATATACAAATATACACAAATATACACACGCACACATATACACACATACCCAACACATATACACAGACCGGACCGCAGCACCATGTGGCAGGGGATGGCTAGTAATCTATATATATACAAACACACATATATAAACAAATATACACCCACATACACGTATACACACATACCCAACACATATACACAGACCGGACCGCAGCACCATGTGGCAGGGGATGGCTAGTAAACTATATATATATACAAACACACATATATAAACAAATATACACCCACATATACACGTATACACACATACACAACACATATACACAGACTGGGCCACAGCAACGCATGGCAAGGGATGGCTAGTTAAAAATAAAATAGAAAGTGGAAGAGAAGAAGGCTGCTGGCATGATGCTTCATCTACACACTCTTCATTTGGGGTTCCAGAAATAGATAACACAAACTCCCGTGTCAGCCTATTCAGACGAGACAAGGAGGGCAAAGAGAGCCTGCGTGTCTACTCTCCTCCTTTGCAAACCTCTCTCTTTCTCCTGGTTTGGTGGGAGGCGGTGATGCAAAATTAACAGACCAAGGGATGCAATGCCCTGGCTAGGTAAACAACCCAGGTATGATTGGCCTTGCAAGAAGCACTGCCTCCCCACACCTTGGAGTCTCCTCCTCCTCCTCCCACCTCTGAGGAGCTGCAAAGGGCCCACGCTGAACCAGCCTTGCTTTCCTCCTCTGCTTTTGGGTCTCCTGCTTGTGGGTAAGAGTCTGGGGAATGGGTCAAAAAGGGAGGCTTTGGTGAGGGGCAGGTGCCAGTACTATGCATTTGGGGCCAAGTCCCCCAAAAAGTGGGATGTGTCCCTTTATTCGTGGGTTTCTTTGGAAGGACCAATGATAAACTCAAGCCAGGTCCAGTGGGGGTAAGGAGCTAAATTAGGGGCCCTTCTACACTGCCATATAATCCAGATCAGGTAAGGGCAAACTGTTAGGAATGATGGGAGTTGAAGTCCAAAACTCCCAGAGGACTACAGTTTGTCCATGCCTGATTATCAAAGCAGGTAATCCACATTACCTGCTTTGAACTGGATTATATGAGTCTACACTGCCATATAATCTAGATCAGGCATGGGCAAACTGTTAGGAATGGTGGGAGTTGAAGTCCAAAACTCAAGGATGACTAAAATTTGCCCATGCCTGATTATTAAAGCAGATAATCCACATTATCTGCTTTGAACTGGATTATATGAGTTTGCACCACCATATAATCCAGATCAGGTAGGATTGTTAGGAATGGTGGGAGTTGAAGTCCAAAATACAAGGAGGACTAAAGTTTGTCCATGTCTGATTATCAAAGCAGATAATCCACATTACCAGCTCTGAACTGGATTATGAGTCTACACTGCCATACAATCCAGATCAGGTATGGGCAAACTTTGGTCCTCCATGTGTTTTGGACTTCAACTTCCACCATTCCTAACAGCCGGTAGGTGTGGGAGTTGAAGTCCAAAACTCCTGAAGGACTAAAGTTTGTCCGTGCCTGATCTGGATTATCAAAGCAGATAATCCACATTACCAGCTTTGAACTGGATTATGAGTCAACACTGCCATATAATCCAGATCAGGTATGGGCAAACTGTTAGGAATTATGGGAGTTGAAGTCCAAAACTCCTGAAGGACGAAAGTTTGTCCATGCTTGATTATCAAAGCAGGTAATCAACATTATCTGCTTTGAACTGGATTATATCAGTCCACACTGCCATCTAATCCAATTCAAAGCAGGTAATCTGGATTTTCTATGGCAGAGTGAGTCTGGGTTAAATCAGAATTCAGTTGGTTTTCTTTGTGTGCCTTTAAAGCTGAATCTACACTGCCTTATATCCCAGGATCTGACCCCAGATTATCTGTTTTGAACCGGGTTATACAAGTCTCCACTGTAAGATAACCCAGCTCAGAGCAGATAAAGTGGATTATCTGCTTTGATAATCTGGATTATATGGCAGTGTAGAAAGGACCAGAGGAACAAATCCTGCCAAGAAAAACCTATGATAAGCTCACCATAAAGTTATGAATGACTATGGCGCCTTCTACACTGCTATATAATCCAGATAATCCACATTATTTGCTTTGAACTAGATTATAAACAAGTCTACACTGCCATACAATCCAGTTCAAAGCAGATAATCTGGATTTTCTATGGCGGTATAGAAGGGGTCTCAGGCTGGATCTACACTGCCCTATATCCCAGATTATATTCTTATCCCAGAATATCTGGCAGTGTCAACTGAGGGCCCTTCCACACAGCCATATAACCCAGAATATCAAGGCAGATATGATATTCAGTATAAACTGGATTATATGCCATATAATATTATCTGCTTTGAACTGGGTTATATGAGTCTACATTGCCATATTATCCAGATCAGGTATGGGCAAACTGTTAGGAATTGTGGGAGTTGAAGTCCAAAACTCCTGGAGGACTAAAGTTTGTCCATGCCTGATTATCAAAGCAGATAATCCACATTACCTGCTTTGAACTGGATTATATGAGTCTACACTGCCATATAATCCAAATCGGGAATGGGCAAACTGTTAAGAATTGTGGGAGTTGAAGTCCAAAACTCCTGGAGGACTAAAATTTGTCCATGCCAGATTATCAAAGCAGATAATCCACATTACCTGCCTTGAACTGGATTATATGAATCTACACTGTCATATAATCCAGATCAGGAATGGGCAAACTGTTAGGAATTATGGGAGTTGAAGTCCAAAACACAAGGAGGACTAAAGTTTGCCCATGCCTGATTATCAAAGCATATAATCCACATTACCTGCTTTGAACTGGATTATATGGCAGTGTGGACTCCTATAAGAAAGCTATTTTAAGTGAAGTTATGTTATAACAAGTAACTTTTCCTCCGTTGTGCAGTTGGCCAACAGCAATGGACTCTTGTGTTGCAAGCCGCCAAGCGGGACCACTAGCCGACAAACTGGACGCTCACAGAGGCTCCGGAAAACCCAGGAGAGGCTCTCTGCAAAATCCTGCTGGCTGGGTAGCCATTTCCAAAAGACTGATGTGGCCAATTGTCTTGGCTGTGGTTCCTTTAGTCGCCAGCACCACTGCATTCAACGAAAGCCATTTGGCTGCATCTCACCAAACTCCACCCGACAGAAGACCAAGTTCTCCAACACCCTTCTCATTCCAGAACTTCACAAATGGATGGGATGTGAGCAATCAAGATTTGAATAATGGATCTGTCAAAGGCCATCCTCCTTGGCAGGCTATGGGAAATGCTAACCACAGTTCTACTATGGTCACCTATACTTACCTCACTCCTACAAGTCCTGAGACACTGGGCAGTAGACCTCAAGGTCCAACATCTCCTGGTTGGGAACCTCCTGCGACCATGGACACGGGGAGGAAAGGTCTCCATTCAAGTAGTGGGACAATATCTCACCATTCTACCAATATTTTATCTGACTCTCTTCCAATATGGTCTTCTGATTCAAGCTCAAGGAAAGCTTTCTCTGACCAAATGACCATGCATCCTGGCCAGGAACTTGATATCACTGAACCTGTTAGTAGAGTGCCTTCTACTAGTGTAACCCCAATCCCTTTCTCTGTTAGGTCCTCAAGTAGTCATTCAGCTAAGATCTCATCTCATCCTACTCTTCATCCATTGAGATACTTCACTGACTCTACAATTAGCAGGAGGTTTCACACTCATCCCCAAGTTGAACGTCTGAAGGCCAGCTTGTTTCCATTTGCATCTTCTCCCACAACTCATAGTAGGTCTTCCTCATCAACCTCCATGGTTGGAAGCCAACCTGATGCAAAACCCTTTACACAAACTGAGGCCCTTCTGATTTCAGCTGTTCACTATGGTGCAAGTAAGCGTTCCTTCCCACTTGGGCCTGATCTATCATCTACAATTACTTGGATCAACTCTTCAGGCCAACCCTCCACAACTGAATCCATGACACAGTGGCCTCAAAGCTCCAACAAAATGTATGATTATCATTTGAGGAATGCAAATTTATCTGCGACGTCTTATAGTCTCAAAGAAGAGTCTTTCAGTGATGTGTTGAATAGTAGTATTTACCAGTTGGCCACAGAGACGGCTATTCCTATTCCTGGCTCATCTGAAACAGGGGTGTCAAAATTCAGCCGTTCTCTTGCCACTGTCCAACCAGATGCTGGTACAATAGCTGTTGGCATGGCTACAGAAGTTAACCTGTCTCTTGGAAAATGGACTTCTAATTCAAAATATGATCTCAGAAGTCAAGCCATGACAATTCTACGTCCAGGTCTTGATACAACAAAAGCATATGAGGTCTCCTCTGCAGCAACTGAGGACACGTTAAGCACTTCATGGGCTAATGACAGAACCAAGCTAGAACTGAAGGACATGACCTCTCCTAGAGGAGAGGAACATGCTGAACTTTATGGTGGTCCAACACATGAGGCCAACTCAAAGGGTGATACCATCAGCTTTGGCTCAGACTTCAAATATTGGCAACCTTCAACTGCTGCTTCACTTGATGTGGTGCATTCTGGAACTGGGTATGATATCCCTGTTCGAGAAGATAGTTCATTGGAAACTATGACTAACACTCCTAGTTACTGGGAGCTGGTGGAGATGGCCACAACTACTATGGTGTCACCCATCTTCTCTTTGGAGTTACCACATACAATTACAGAGGACACACAGACTCTAAAGTTGGCCTCCAGCTTCATTTCTGTACAACCCAAAGCTGAACTTGCAGGTCAGCACTACACCTTGCCTCAGAGGTGGAGAGATGCAACACCATCTCCTCCAGATCCCACTGTTCTTGACATATCTAGGGTTGTGTTGACATCTGAGGAACCTACTGAATTGTTCACCACAAAGAAGGATAGCAAGGGTGTTGTGCACATGCTTTCAGAAGGAACAGGCACCACACTTGCATCTCATCCCTTCCAAGACACAGTAAGGGTCACCTTGCCAGTGGGACCCACTTCTCCTAGGATGACCCATGATGATCTTCACACAGGAGTTCCTACAGCCAGTCCAGCAATAGAGCTTTTCAGCGTAACATCCTCTCAATGGAAAGGTGACATCCCCATGCCTTTGCATGCCACAGCTTCCCTTGCAGAGACTACAAAGCCAGAGAGAACTTCTGTAGTGACAACCCATGGGTCTGTATCAATGTACATTACATCACTTGACTCCTCTAGGACCAGTGTTCCTGAATTGTCCTTGGAAATGCACAGTGGGGCTGCTGAAAAAGCTCGGAAAGAGCAGGAAGCACTGGAGGTCACAACACTGCCCAGGTTCTCAAGTTCAGAAGAGTGGCAGCCTGACCCCAAAGCAGTGACATCTTCTCCAGCATCAGCTAGCATTGTGGATGGAATAGAACCACCAAGTCTGCCTTCAAAGGACTCAGATGCCTCTGCTGGAACAACTACATTCAGAACCGAGCCAAGATATAGTAAGTCTGTTGATGCTTCTGCTGTCATTACTTTACAAGATGATGGTACAGCAACTTTGTATATTCCTAACCCAGATTCCTCTGTCTATCTGCCCATTTCAGAGACTACTTCTGCCACAACCGTTCTCCTGACCACTTCCAAATTTCTTCCTGAAGAGTCAAAGTCAACTTGTAGCCACATTTCTTGCCTTTTGAGAACCATCCCATCCTCCTTCACTCCATCTTCAGCTCAGCTTTTCCTGACTTCCCAACCCTACTTGACTAGGAATGTTTGGGTCTCCACATTAAGCCCAAAAGATGTTAGGAAGGAGAAGTCTACTGTTGGGGTGGGAACCAAAGCCACCAGCACCAAGGCGATCATCACAAGGATAGTAACTGAAGGGGTGGCTGTCATCCCAAGGGGTCGATCTTCAGAGCAACCAGAGTCCAAAGATCCAGTGTTGAGGGAAGCAACAACAAAAGAGAATCTGATCTCCTCAAAGACACCTCTGTTACTGGTTCCAGAGCTGCATGTTCTACCCCTGTCATTTCGTCTCACTGGAATGGATTATTTGCAATCCTTGGAGAACAAGACCTCTGGAAGCTACAAGAAGCTGGAAAAAGAAGTACAATTAACAGTAAGTACTCTAGCGACCTTCACATATACATGTATCTGTATAGTAGAATCTTTGGATATTTTGATAGCATTCCAGAGAAGTAATGTTGGCCTTCTACATTTGAGAGTTTTACTTTCAATATGTAATTATTTCCAGATTTTAGTAATATCTTCTGATCATAGAATTGTGCTGGAGGACCTGAAGATTGCTAGAGAGAACAACTCTCTAGGCATTTGTTGGTCCTCCAGCACAATTCTGTGGTATATTTGATCTACAGGCACACATTATTAATCTCTGGCAGTGCAGTTTGTACAATAGTATAGTGCTGCCTCAGTTGTATCTCTGGCTTGATGCATCTTGCCATCATGTTGGAAGAATGGGGAATGGAATGTCAGGCTGCTTCAATGGGTGTATTTGTCTTGTCACTCCATCCTAAATCTTCCTTCTAAATCAGTGTTTCTCAACCTGGGGGTTGGGACCTCTGGGGGGTTGCAAGGGGTTGTCAGAGGGGCTGCCAAAGCCCATCAGAAAACACAGTATTTTCTGTTGGTTATGGAGGTTCTGTGTAGGAAGTTTGGCCCAATTCTATTATTGGTGGGGGTTCATTCAGAATGCTCTTTGATTGTAGGTGAACTATAAATCCCAGCAACTACAACTCCCACACATCAAGGTCTATTTTCCCCAGATTCCACCAGTGTTCACATCTGGGCATATTGACTATTTGGTCCAGATCCATCATTGTTTGGGTCCACAGTGCTCTCTGGATGTAGGTGAACTACAACTCCAAAACTCGTCAATGCCCACCAAACCCAGTATTTTCATGGAAGGTCTGTGTGCTGAGATTGGTTCAATTCCATTGTTGGTGGGGTTCAGAATGCTCTTTGATTGTAGGTGAACTATAAATCCCAGCCACTACAACTTCCAAATGACAAAATCAATTCCAACCCCACCAGTATTCAAAATTGGGCATATCAGGTATTTGTACCAAATCTGGTCCGGTGAATGAAAATACATCCTGCATATCAGATATTTACATTATGATTCGTAACAGTAGCAAAATTACAGTAATGAAGTAGTAACAAACATGATTTTATGGTGGGGGGTCACCACAACAGGAGGAAATGAGATTGAGAAATGATGTTCTAAATGTTCCTTTGAGCAAAGAGTCCTGGAACAATAAATCTATGTGAACTTCTCTCTCCAGGTAAACAAGATGCTATCTACTTACGAGGGCTTCCTTCAAACAAACATTCTTGGATTCTTGTAAGTAGCATTAATCCATGTGTCATATTCATTTCCAGGCAAAATTTGTGTCTTATGCAATACATTAGGATGGAAGTGACTTCCTTGGAGTATCGCTCCCAATGGCTTTGTCGGTTGTTTTTTACCCCGTGTTCTAGACTTGATCTGAATCTCTTGAATCTGTTCTCTCTTGAGTTTCCTTCTATTGCGTTGTGCTTGAATGTCTTCGTGTACGGTATCAATTCCACTCTGTCCTATGAAAAGTGAGATGGTGACATCCAAATGAAATTGGAAGAAGCAAAGTGCAGGTGTTCTGTTAGCGATAGGTTTGGAGTTCTGCTGAAATCCTGGCCTGATTAATTATTCTAACTTTTGAATAGGAATGGCTCTGTGGTTGTTAAGAGTGAAGTTGTATTCCAGAGAAGGGTCCCCATTCCCACACCTTCCGATGTCATCCGTACAATTGCTACAGAGGTAGAGAGACGGGCGATAGACACTTTCTTTGACTGGAGGCTAGATCTACAGTCCCTTCATTCCAATGGTAAGCAACACCCATCAAATGAGCTCTGTGCTCATTTCGAGTAATCTCAATATGATGTTTTCTAGGAGTATTTGCTTACAACTTTCAGGCATGTCTCCTGTTTGCATTTTCATCCCCCTTTCCATTAGGATTCGACGTGGACAACCTAGAACCTGAGAAGTTGGCCATATCTTTCACTGCTCTAGAACTGGATTCTGGAGGAGCCTTGGGTAGTGTGATGAATTGGAACCATCTGGTAAGAAGAGTGTCCTTTAGGCTTGGATGAGATCATCTGGAGTTTTGGAGTCTGATGCCATCTGTATGCAGATGAGGTCCAACTGTATTACTCCTTTCCACTAGATGCTAAGGAGGCTGTCCAGGTCATTCACTGCTCTAGAATTAGATTCTGGAGGAGCCTTGGGTGGTGTGATGAATTGGAACCATCTGGTAAGAAGAGAAGCCAACAAAGAGAGTAGTGTCCTTTAGGCTTGGGAGAGATCACCCGGAGTTTTGGAGTTCATTGCCATCTGTATGCAGATGACATCCACCTCTATTACTCCTTTCCACGAGATGCTAAGGAGGCTGTCCAGGTCATTCACTACTCTAGAATTGGATTCTGGGGGAGCCTTGGGTGGTGTGATGAACTGGAACCATCTGGTAAGCCTAAGAAGAGAAGATAACAAAGGGAGTAGTGTCCTTTAGGCTTGGGTGAGATCATCCGGAGTTTTGTAGGTCATTGCCATCTGTATGCAGAGGATGTCCAACCATACTACTCCTTTCCACGAGATGTTAAGGAGGCTGTCCAGGCCGTGAACCAGTGCCTGGCCGCTATGACAGTCTGGATGAAGTTGAATCCAGACAAGACAGAGGTCCTCCTGGTTAGTTGCAAGGCCAGGGTATAGGGTTACAGCCTGTGCTAGATGGGGTCACACTCCCCTTGAAGACAGCTTTGGTGTCCTCCTGGACTTATCACTGTGCCCGGAGCCTCAGGTTGCGGCGGTGGCTGAGGAGGCTTTCGCACAATTAAAACTTGTGCACCAGCACCTTGTGAAGTCAGCTTTGGCCACGGTGGTCCATGCTCTCATTACATCCAGGATAGATTACCACAATGCACTCTACATTGAGTTGCCCTTGAAGACTGTTCGGAAGCTTCAAATAGTCCAATGAAAGGCAACCAGGTTAATAACTGGGGCGGCATATAGGGCACACACAACTCCCATGTTACGAAAGCTTCTCTAGCTGCCTGTTTGCTACTGGGCACAATTCAAAGTGCTGGCTTTGGCCTATAAAGTCCTAAATGGCCCCAGCCCAGTTTACCTGTCCAAATGCGTCTCCCTTTACAAACCACTGCTAAGACTAAGCTCTTTTATGGAGTCTCAGCTCTCGGTCCTGCCATTGTCACAGGCGTGTTTGGCAGGGACGAGAGAGGGGGGCTTCTCAGTGATTGCCCCTTGGCTATGGAACTCCCTCCCAGGTGAGATTAGATCAGGCCCTTCCTTTTGTGCTCCACTCTGAGTCCCCTTCGGGGTGGGAAGGGTGAAATATAAATGTTTCGAATAAATAAATAAATAAAGTAATGGAAGACTTAGCATCCAGAATGTCAGGTTGTTGTGTAGTTTGTGTTCCACTAATAGATTGCTCAGGAAAACATAAATCCCACTTTTGGTTGTGAAAAATTGCTGATTTTAAAAATAATTTTCCTAGATAGGCTAGACTGTGTCCTCCACCGTGTCCTTCCAGTAGTGGGCGTTGTATCCAATGTAGATGGTTCATCCTGGTGTTTACCACGTGAGCTGAAGCCTTGTAACTAATTTAAAACATTACTCTTGTTCTTGTAGGTGACTATGTTACTTGGAGCTCGTTACGCTGTGCAGAACATCTCATTCATCGAAAGTGGGTATGTACGTAATTTAACTTTGTTCAGATCTGGGTGATGCTAATCTTCAGTCAGTCCTCAAGTGGAGGGCAGACTACTTCTGGTGCTAGAGACAGTATGCCTCAAGAGAATGCAAATAGGCAGTATGGATACAACTCTAGACTTAGATATGATTTTGGTTCCATCTCTGTTTTCTTTACATTAACTCAGCACAGTTTCTATTTCACAGAAACCTCCAGGGTGGCATAGATATAAACGGAGAAGTCTATATCGATACTGACATTCATGTTGACGTTGGCTGGGCTCTAGAAGCACTGACAGAGCTTTCAAATTACTCAGTAGATCTCACATCCCTCTCCATCGATGGTCAGTAGGTCCAACTCAACCTCTCTTCAGCTCATTTTGAGGGTCATAGTGGGGCATGAACGGACGTTTACCAGCCTGCTAGATCTACAGTGTTCTCTAATTTACAGGATCACGGCTCAGCCTTCAAGTATTCCCCATTTCTTTCTTGGTGACCAACAGAATATTCAATGAGAAAATGATGGACCGCTCTTCTGTGGAGCATCTGAACCTTGTGAGGGATCTCTCTGGAGTGGTAAGTGGAAGACACGACACCATCACTAGGCCTCAGGAGGATTTTAGAGGAAGAATACTGACKCCTGGATCTATCCCAATTGATCACCCTAGATCTAGACCAGTGGTTCTCAACCTTCCTAATGCRGCGACCCCTGAATACCGTTCCTCATGTTGACCCCCAACCATAACATTATTTTTGTTGCTACTTCATAACTGTAATTTTGCTACTGTTATGAATTGCAATGTTTATATCTGATATGCAGGATGTATATGATAGAGRTGAACCAAACTTAGCACACAGAGCTCCTATGACCAAGAGAAAATATTGGAAGGGTTTGGTGGGTATTGACCTTGAGTTTTGGAGTTGTAGTTCACCTACATCCAAAGAACACTGTGGACTGAAACAATGATGGATCTGGATCAAACTTGGCARGAATACTCAATAATGTGAATGCTGGTGGAGTTTGAGGAAAAGAGACCATGAGATTTGGGAGTTGTAGTTCCTGGGATTTATAGTTCACCTCCAATCAGAGAGCATTCTGAACCCCACCAATGGTAAAATTGGGCCAAACTTGGCACATAGAACCACCATGACCAACAAAAAATACTGTGTTTTCTGATGGTCTTTGGTGACCCCTCTGACACCCCCTCATGACCCCCCCCCAGGGGTCACGACCCCCAGGTTGAGAAACACTGATCTTGACTGTCATGGGTTTTGACTGATGACGTAACAGAGTTGTAAAATCTGTTTTTCCTCCCATTAGATAATGCATGTACTGGGCAAGTACAAAAGCCTCCTTCAAGTGGCAATCCGGGAGATTACGTAAGTAGGCATTTCTCTTCTGTATAAATAAAAATGTAATGTTCGTTTGTGGATTAACATAACTCAAAAATCACTGGATGAATTGGCACCAAATTTGGACACAAGGCACCTATCAGGCCAACGAGTGACCATCACTGTTAAAAACACTGAAAAACACAGCGGAAGAGACTTAAAAAGCCAAAAAACAATAATTACATTACAACGCATGCGCATGCGCATAACCACATACATACACATATACACAAATATATACACACGCATATATGCACACTAAATACAAATACACAGACTGGGCCACAGTAACGCATGGCAGAGGACAGCTAGGTATAAATAAAAAATGTAATGTTCGTTTATGGGATTAACATAACTCAAATTTGGACAGAATACACCTATCAGGCCAACAAGTGACCATCACTCATAAAAACATTGAAAAACACAGCAGAAGAGACTTAAAAGCCAAAATTTAAAATATATATCTTACAGTGCATTTACAAAACCACACACATGGAAACACACATATATACACATATAGAGAAAAATATGCACACACATACACACAAAACACATATACACAGACTGGGCCACAGCAACGTGTGGCAGGGGACGGCTAGTTTACTATATGATCTTTAGTCACTATAAGGAACCTGCAGCCTTCCAGATATTTTGCTGCTGGGCCCACCATCCCCATTATGAGATAGGGTTTGTTATATTCTTCTTTGGATTGCAGAGGTGGCTCCTTGGTGTGCCATGGAGATGTGATATTCCATCATCCTGCCCCGACCAGCAAGGATATTCTCCGGACTCTTGCCCTTGCAGTTGGTCCAAAGGATTACCTGGATTCATCTACTCTCCAGGTGGATCCATTCTCCTTTACAGTAGCAGGTATGCCTCCAAATAGCAAGAATAAGCCATTCAGGGCCCTCCAAACGTTCCTGGACTCCACCACCCAAACATAAACATGTGTGAGGGGGATTATGGGATTGGCAGCCAAACAATTTATGGAGGACTGCAAGGGATTCTGCCCAAAGTCAGAAAAGAATGAACATTGCTTCAATCTAAGCCTGTCCTGAAAATGTAACATGACGTTCCCTTTGGTTTTGTCCTCCAGGTGATGTGTTGGAGCCACCCTTTGCCAGTTTAGGGATTCCCATCTATGCTGTAGTCATCCTGGCTTTGTTTGTCCTTGCGCTTATTGCTCTTCCCATCTTGGTTTTGCTGGTAAGACAGTCTTGCTTCAGTTCCATCAATCCACTTTTGTAACCGTAGTTGCCAATGGTTTTGATCTCACCAGGATCCTGGTGTCTTAGGGTGCATTTGTCACAAATAACTTTTCAATAACTTTAAAGCATAGGTTCTTTTTATTGCAATTTCCAGTGTGAGAGGGTCTATCAGATTACAGAAAAACATTCAGACATACAGACTCTATGCAACTTCCTTCCCATGGAGCAGAGCATGGCGGGTGAACCAGACTCCTCAGGTCTGCCACACTTTGAGCATTATTAGATTGAGTCTTTTATAGGAATACTAGCTGTACCCAACACGCGTTGCTGTGGCCAATCTTCCCTCCCTCTTTCTCTCCTTTATTTGCTCCCTCTTTCTTTCTTTCCTTCCTTCCTTTTTCTTCTTTTCTTTTCTCCTTCCTTCCTTCTCTATCTCTTTCCTTCCTTTGCTTTGTTTCCATTCTTCCTTTTCTCTTTCCTTTCCTCCCCTCCCTCTTTCTCTCCTTTCCCTCCTTCCTTCTCTACCTCTTTCTTTCCTTCCTTTGCTTTGTTTCCATTCTTCCTTTTCTCTTTCCTTTCCTCCCCTCCCTCTTTCTCTCCTTTCCCTCCTTCCTTCTCTACCTCTTTCTTTCCTTCCTTTGCTTTGTTTCCATTCTTCCTTTTCTCTTTCCTTTCCTCCCCTCCCTCTTTTTCTCCTTTCCCTCCTTCCTTCTCTCTTTCCTTCTTTCTCCACCTTTTTCTTTCTCTTCCCTTTCTTTCTCCTCCTCTCTTCTTTCCTTCCTTCCTTCCTTCTTTGCTGTCTGCTTCTATGCCTCCTTCTATCTTTCCCTTTTCATCTTTCTTTGGTGCATCCTCCTCCCCTAAAGGGCCTGGTCTAGGGGATGCTGGAAACTGTCGTTTTCGCACAGGCGCTGCATTGTCATTTAGCTTTTTTGGGTTTTTTAGTCCTTTCTACTATTCTTTGAGAGGGGTTTATGAGTGATGGTCACTCATTGGTCTGTTAGGGCTGTAGTGTCCAGATTTGGTGTCAATTCGTCCAGTGGTTTTTGAGTTATGTTAATCCCACAAATGAACATTACATTTTTATTTATATAAATTCTGTAGTCCCAAAGTTGTAAATGAATGATAGACATATCTATCTATCTATCTATCTATCTATCTATCTATCTATCTATCTTATTGTGTCAGGAGCAAACCAAACAGTTGTATTGCATTTTTTAACAAACAAATAAAACACAAAGTTTGCAAGCTTGGTAGTTGATTAATTGTCCTTTGAGCAGTATCTGGCCACTTGGAGTGCCTCTGGTGTTGCCGCAAGGAGGTCCTCCATTGTGCATGTGGCAGGGCTCAGGTTGCATTGCAGCAGGTGGTCAGTGGTTTGCTCTTCTCCACACTCGCATGTCGAGGATTCCACTTTGTGGCCCCATTTCTGAAGGTTGGCTCTGCATCTCGTGGTGCCAGAGCGCAGTCTGTTCAGGGCCTTCCAAGTCGCCCAGTCTTCTGTGTGCCCAGGGGGGAGTCTCTCATTTGGTATCAGCCATTGATTGAGGTTCTGGGTTTGAGCCTGCCACTTTTGGACTCTCACTTGCTGAGGTGTTCCAGCGATTGTCTCTGTAGATCTTAGAAAACTATTTCTTGATTTAAGTCGTTGACGTGCTGGCTGAAAGCCAAACAAGGGATAATCTGGAGATGTCCCTGCCTTGGTCCTTTCACTATTGGTTGCTACTTCCCGGTGGATGTCAGGTGGTGTAGTTTCTCCAGTGGTGTAGGGCGCAGACACCCCGTGATAATGCGGCATGTCTCATTAAGAGCCACATCCACTGTTTTAGCATGGTGAGATGTGTTCCACACTGGGCATGCATACTCAGCAGCAGAGTAGCATAGCGCAAGGGCAGATGTCTTCACTGTGTCTGGTTGTGATCCCCAGGTTGTGCCAGTCAGCTTTCATATGATATTGTTTCTAGCGTCCACTTTTTGCTTGATATTCAGGCAGTGCTTCTTGTAGGTGGCCCACTGAAACATTCACACCTAGCTCCAACAGACAAGAGTTCTTTCTCCCACCCTGGACATTATTCCACAGATATATAAACAGCATTTTCCTAGTTTCCAACAGACCTCACAACCTTTGAGGATGCTAGCCACAGATGCAGGTGAAACATCAGGAGAGAATGCTTCTAGAACATAGCCATAAAGCCCAAAAAACCTACAACAACCCATGATGGAATCAATCTTCATTAAAATCTGGAAGACTATATTTTATTCTCCCTGTCTTAGAAATATAACTGTCGTCTTATGAAACATACCAGTCACTTGAAAGTAGCTTAATTCTGCACATGTTTGTTTGTTCCTTAATGTGATAGCATGCTATAGTGCAGTGCATGTCATGGTTCCCTAACCCTTTCTTTTATTTTGTTATTAAAGCCGAAGATGCTTGGCCGGAAAGACAAGATTATCATTAATAGATTGCGTGACCTTGAAGGCGGCATTGAGTTGTTTGAACTGGATAACCCAGCTTTCCGCCCCACTCTGGAAGAGGTGCATTTGGAGTGTCTGGACACACACATGTGAGTGCATACTTCAACTGTAAGGAGGATTGGTGAGTTTTCCCCTTGAGTGGGTCCTGAATAATAAAAATATTCCAGACCAGAGTTTGTATTCAGTTGACCATAGATTTACAGTGAGATTCCAAGAGAGAACATACAATTCTGTGAGTATATTTCCCAATGAACTGGATATATATTTATATTGTTTTTAAAGGGCAGATAGCTTTTAAATTGTTATTTCTGAATACTCGTGTTATTTTAGTTTTTACTAAATGATCATTGTTTATTATTGTTATTTATTATTTACTGTTTATATATAATTTTTGTATTTGTTGCTTGTTGTAAGCCACCCTGAGTCCCTTCTATCAGTGCAATTTGCTGGCCAACTTGCTTCTTATCATTCAGTTAACTGGCTTCAGACACGGTTGTTTCTACTTCGGTAGCAGCTCTTTATTTACATTTCTCTTAATGCAGTAACAGTTCCTCGTAACAGTCAGATGCAAGGGAGAAGAGCCAAGGGAAAGAACAAAATGGTGTCTGCTCTATTTATACCCCACTGTTATTAGCTCATTAATTCAGTGTCCAGCCTCCTAGTCTATTGCAACATCTTCCTTGTCTGTTCCACGCATGCTTCATAATATTCCACAACTTAACTCTTTCACAGCTAGCAGCACAGAGATTTTAAACTTGTACAATATATATATTGATATTACACTGATACCTTCAGGGAGAGGGGGAGGGGTATATAATAATAATAATAATAATAATAATAATTATTATTATTATTATTATTATCATCGTCTGAAACACAACAAGATGAGTCCACAGCAGACATTCTGCTGGCTGTTGTATTGGATCATACGTCGGACACTTCTCAAGTGTCTAGGACTGTGTGATGTATAACTGTTGTTGTTGTTGTTGTTGTTATTATTATTATTATTTGAAACACAACAATATGAGTCCACAGAAGACAGTGTGCTGGCTGTTGTATTGGATCATACTTCGGACACTTCCCAAGTGTCTAGGACTATGTGATGTATTGGCAAATAATGCATGTAGATCCCAGTAAGGTGGCCTTTTGCAGCTGACAAGTGGTGATTTTGTCAGTGCCGATTGTGTTTAAGTGCAGGCCAAGGTCTTGAGGCACTGCACCCAATGTGCCAATCACCACTGGGACCACCTTGACTGGCTTGTGCCAGAGTCTTTGCAGTTCGATCTTTAAATCCTCATACCGTGTCAGCTTTTCCTGTTGTTTCTCTGCAATCCTGCTGTCACCTGGGATTGCGACATCAACGATCCATACTTTGTTTTTTAACACGATTGTGAGGTCAGGAGTATTATGCTCCAAAACTCTGTCTGTCTAAATCTGAAAGTCTCACAGGAATTTGGCATGTTCATTCTCTGTAACTCTTTCCGGTTTGTGATCCCACCAGTTCTTTGTCTCAGGCTGATGGTATTTGTGGCACAAGTTCTAATGCATCATCGGAGCAACTGTGTTGTGCCTCTGCTTATAATCTGTGCAATCTTCTTGCAGCAGCTGAGGATGTGATCTATTGTTTCGTCTGCTTCCTTGCAGAGTCTACATTTGGGATTATTATTATTATTATTATTATTATTATTATTATTATTATTGGCACAACCTTCCCATTCCTTCCAGTGAATGTATGTGGGATGCTTTGTTTCAAGGGCCTTTTTGACCTGTCCCTCATCTCTTTGCTGCAGGATGATGACAGACACTAGTACTAGTACTTTCCAAGGACAACCGTTGGTTTGGTCAACCAAAGCATTCAGTGATGGAACAATGCCTCATTCCATCTGAGTTTGGTCCTTCACATCCAGATAGAAACCACAGAGACGTCTGAACCTTTGAGTTGTGGAAGATGCTGAAAAGAGCTTATTGGAGATTTCTACCTATTGCGGGGCTACTCAAACTGGTCTTGCAGCCAACATCCATGATGTCTTGCAACACTTGTACATATCTTGCAGCCAACATCTGAAGAAGGAAGGAAGTATCTGACTTTGGTGGAAGACAACTTCCCTATTAATGCATTAGCAAATAAGAAAGGGCATCTTGTCCAATTGGGAAGTTATGTTTTATTGCACAGAAAAGCAAATTCTCTGGAACAAGAGTGCAAGGCGGCAACTGGATTCTGTTCTATCATTACTTTTAGAGCAGGTAGATATTGAGGTTTGGACCATCCTGGAGAGGTCTTCGTCATCCAGACCTTATCATCATTATGTACAGTGTTCTTTTTTATATATCTAGGTTAGATCTTTTAAATATGTCTTTAAAACACTTCTTAAAACTTTCTCTAGAGCATAGACATTGCATTTTTTCAGAATGGGTTTTGCTGGCATTTAAAATCACAACATACATGGTCGGCGAAAGGGAGAGGATGTCTACCTTCATTTTGGGTTCCATTCAGTTTTAGAGAGATGAGAACTTTAAGAGTTTGAAAGAAACCTTGGGTATAAATATATAGTATTTAAGTGGGGGGGGAGGGACAGGGGATGGAACTGGAAGCCATGGAAGAAGTGGTCTTCTAAGACCATGAGAACCTGTTGAGATGCATCACATTGCGAGCCATTTCTCACTGTACATCATAGTTGGGCCAGTCTTGTTTTCCAACTAGACCAGTGGTTCTCAATCCATGGGTCCCCAGGTATTTTGGACTACAACTCCCAGGAATCCCAGCCAGTTTACAGCTGTTTGGATTTCTGGGAGTTGAAGGCCAAAACATATGGGGACCCACAGATTGAGAACCATTGGTCTAGAACCGTAGTTCTCAACCTTTGGGTCTCCAGGTGTTTTGGACTTCAACTCCCGGAAATCCCAGTCAGCTTACTAGCTGTTAGGAACTGTGGGAGCTGAAGTCCAAAACACCTGGAGGTACAAAGGTTGGGAACCACTGATCTAGAGAGAGGTTGTGTGTGATGTCCAGATTATCACTAGGTTTGAAGCCTGCAAATACTTCCTTGTGGTAGTTGTGGCTCCCTTGAAGATATTATGGGAGGATATAGTAAGGAAGTCTGCTGGAAATTGGGTACAATCCAAGTGGGATTTTTAGTTAGGGGGTGGGACCTTCATGTCCTGTCCATAGCCAATGGCAATGGAGGATGAGAGCTGCAATTCCAAAGGTCAGTTGTGTTCCATCCCTTGTCTTGTTGAACTTTCTGTGTTGCCACAATTAGTAAGGGAGAGGTAGGAATGAGGAACATGTCATACTCAATACTGCAAATGCCTTATTCCATTAATTCCCAAACTTCAAGTGTTTTGGACATCAACTCCCATAAGCCTCAGCCACTTTGGCCAATGATCAAAGATTCTGGGAGCGGAGGTCCAAAACACCTGGAGGATTCAGAGTTTGCAAAAATAAGTCTCGTTCCATCTCCCTTTCCTGAAGGTTTGAAGCAAGGGTCAGTAAGATGAGGCCATTCTGATGTTGCTGAACCACAGCTCTGCTAGCATTGCTCACCAGTATCCAGGGCTGATGGGTCCTGCAGTTACAGCAACACCTGAAACGATGTGCTTTGTCCATTGTTTACATTCTGGTGATGCTCCATTTGAAGGAAGCATTGTTTATTGTTTATACTAAGGGTTTGTCACATTAATATCAACAATATACTAAGGTGACAAAACCTTAGTATATTGTTTATACTAAAAAAAGTCTTCCCGGATACTTCCCATCCTTCACCCCAGGATCAGTTGGCACCCACACTTGACTGGCTCCTCCTTTTTTTCATTTTCTCTATAGCAAACAAGCTGTATCTCTCTATACATAGTACGTTCTTCCGTTTGTTTGTTTGTTTGTTTGTTTCTTGCTTGTTGCCATGTTGTATTAAAAAGTAGTTCTGAATAAATTGTTCTGAAGACTTTTCTTATGTAGTGATGTGGAATTGGACCATCTCTCAAGATCATGTGGCATTCACTAAAATCTGATTGGATGTAGTCTATTAATCCCAGGACTCTGATACAACTTCAAGGTGCACAACAATGTCAAATCAAGGTGCACAACAATGTCAAATCAAGGTGGTCAGTTGAAACATTCACACCTAGCTCCAGCAGACAAGAGTTCTTTGTCCCACCCTGGTCATTCCAGAGATATATAAACCCATTTTAATACAGCTTAATGGTGTAACCTTGGATTGTAGATGTTAAACAACATGGGGAATGATACTAGACCCTATCATGGAGGTTTCTTGGCAAGATTTGTCCTCCATGTTTGAGAGTAACTTCCCAAAGTCACCCAATGGGTGTCCCATAGCTGAATCAAACTGGTCTCCCAGAGCCTACTAATCCATCACTCACAACACTTGAAGGTGGTTTTCACAACCTTTGTGGTGATATATATACACAGATACATCCCCCAATGGGTGGTTGGTGTGTATCTTCAGGTTACCTGTCAACTTATGAGAACCCTATGCCTTTCATGGGGTTTTCTTCCGCAAGGAGTACTCAAGGTGGTTTGCCATTGTTTTCTTTGGAGGCAAGTATCAACTGGAATAGAACTGCTTTCAAAGGATGGGAATGGGGAGAACAGTTCATCCCCAAAGACAGTCATACAGAGCAATTAAAAGACCAAGTAGGGAGGCAGGGGTTTCATCAAAGCCACAAAAAGCTGTTGAGCATTTGAATGGAGGAGGAAGTTCTTAGCTGAATGGCATTGATATGGATACAAGCTTGGCCTAATGTTTCAATAGAGCAAGCAATCTGGATCACAATAAGCGCTTTAATATATATAGTATGCCCAGGAGACACCTAAAAGCCCTAAAGACACCAGGGTTTGGTGGGCTTTCACCTTGGGTTTTGGAGTTGTCGTTCACCTACAACCGGAGAGCAGTGTGGACTCAAACAATGATGGATCTGGACCAAACTTGGCACGAATGCTCAATCTGCCCAAATGGTAGAGTTTGGGAAAAACAGACCTTGACATTTGGGAGTTGTAGTTGCTGGGATTTATAGTTCACCTACAAAGAGCACGCTAAACCCAGCCCACAATGGATCAGCACCAAAATTGGCACACTACCTACATGGTCAACACTGAATACTTGTGGTATTGGAGGGGGGGCTGTTTTTGAATTCTGGGAGTTGTAGTTCACCAGCACCATAAAGGAAGAGAAGGACAGACGGAGAGATCAACCTTCTCTGGCAAAAGGGTTCCTAAGACCATCAGAAATATGTGTTTTTCGATGGTCTTTGGCGACCCCTCTGAGACCCCCCTTGTGATCCCCCCTGGCGTTCCGACCCCGGGGTGGAGAAACACTGATCTAGAGCATTAAGATCTGCCAGGGAGGCTCTGCTCTCGGTCCCACCCCCTTCGCAGGCACGACTGGTGAGGACGAGAGACAGGGCCTTCACGYTGGTGACCCCTCAGCTATGGAACTCCCTCCCCAATGATATTACATTGTCCCCCCGTCCCCCCCGCTGACTTCCAGGTGTCACTGGAGCAGTGTTTCTTAACCTTTTTCCTTTCCTTTTCCTTTCCTTTTTCCTTATCCTTTTTCCTTTTCTCAACCTTTTTCCTTTCCACTTCCATCAGCATTGCTAATATCTGGAGGACATTGGGCTGGGAGTGGCTAGCTAGGCAAGGCAGAGGGATTTGGGTYTCTGTAGTCCCTCAAACCCCTGCACTCAATTATTTGCAGATCTCCAAATGAGATGGTGTTGCAGTGGTCCTCAACCTGGGGTCCCCAGATGTTTTTGGCCCACAACTCCCAGAAATCCCAGTCAGTTGAAGGCCCAAAACATCTGGGGASCCCAGGTTGAGAATCACTGTGCTAGGAGAAGACAACTGATGTTCTCCTGATGCTGTCAGGCTTCAAACTGTTTTCAGGATAAGGTCCCAGAACTCCATAACTGACCTTGTAGTCACCTGAGTCTCATTGCAGAAGGCCAGCATTGTCTCATGGTTGTAACACAAGGCAGCTGTGAAGGGAGAGGTTGTTGACCTGCAGGATATAAACCTTGGTCTCCCAAGGTGGTTTCTGTAGATTCTTGAACCTGGATACCAGAATGGGTTTCTCCTGTGGTCTTCAAGTTTTTTTCTTCCTCCTCCTTGTCCTCAGTGGGGCAGATCCTTTCAATCCGTGGGACATTTCCCAGGAGGATTTCTCCTGGGGGTCTTTTCCCAGAGATGTCCCACCCCCAGAGCAGGTCTATGGCCCTTCTTTGGCTCGGGCCTCCCCTTGGGCTTGGGTGGATGTCTCCCAGCCCAGGGCTTTATCCAGCTTGAAACCAGTGACGGTCCAGTGTGGAGAGGCTGAAGTGGTGGTGACTGTCAGCAGGGACCTTTTTGGCACAGGGAAGCTCATCCAAGCGACTGACCTGACCCTGGGCTCTCTTGGTTGTCAGCCCACCTCCATTGATGCCTCTGAGGACACCGTAATCTTTGACATTGGGCTCCATGAGTGTGGAAGCACCTTGCAGGTACGTTCACTGCCTTTCTTGGTCTTGTTCTTTCACACTGTTTTGCTCACAGGGCCCCTTGGGGTGGGGCAACAGGTTAAACTGCTGAACTTGCTGACTGAAAGTTGGCAGTTTGGATTCAGGGAGCGGGGTGAGCTCCTGCTGTTAACCCCAGCTTCTGCCTACCTAGCAGTTTGAAAACATGCAAATGTGAGTAGATCAATACGTACTGCTCCGGTGGGTAGGTAATGGCGCTCCATGCAGTCATGCCGGCCACATGAACTAGGAGGTGTCTATGGACAACACCAGCTCTTTGGCTTAGATATGGAGATGAGCCCCAACCTCCAGAGTCGGACACGACTGGACTTAATGTTGGGAAACATTTACCTTTACTTTACTCCCAGTGGGAAAGTAACCAATGCTAGTATCCCTGAAGAATTCGTACACCCTTAACAGCTTATAATTCTGGATAATTCTTTTTGAACCCTCCTCCCCATCCCATCCCATTCCCTTTCAATGCATATATATTTTTAACAGGATTGAATATTTCAGTAGGAGACGTATTGTAAAATTATGAGAAAACTATAAAGTTGTCCTCATGATGCACTTTCCCCTGCCCTCAATAAAAGCCAGACCCCACTACTCCCCTTCTTGGGCCCCTCCCTCACAAATACACTCTCTCACCCAGGGTCTTAACATTTTGTCTCATGCATCTGGCCCGCCCTTTGTGTTTGATTTTTATTATGTTGCTAGCCGTCCCCTGCCACGCATTGCTGCGGCCCACATGGGGGTTCTGTGTGGGAGGTTTGGCCCAATTCTCAATATGCCCCAATTTGAACACTGGTCGCGTTTGGGGAAAATAGACCTTGACATTTGAGAGTTGTGGTTGCTGGGATTTATAGTTCACCTACAATCAAAGAGCTTTCTGAGCTCCACCAATGATGGAATTGAACCCAACTTGGCACACAGAACTCCCACAACCAACATAAAATACTGGAAGGGTTTTGTGGGCATTGACCTTCACCTATATCCAGAGAGCACTGTGGACTCAAACAATGATGGATTTGGACCAAACTTGGCACGAATATTCCATGTGCCCAAATATGAACACAGATGGAATTTGGAGGGGAAAGACTTTGACATTTGGGAGTTGTATTTAGTGGGATTTATAGTTCACCTACAATCAAAAGACATTCTGAACCTCACCAACGATAGAATTTGGCCAAACTTCCCACTCAGAACCCACACGACCAACAGAAAATACTGTAGTTTTTGATGGTCTGTGGCGACCCCTCTGATACCTCCTTGTGACCCCCCCAGGGGTCCAGACCCCCAGGTAGAGAAACACTGCTCTAGATACATCCTACCTCTGTTCATGCCCAGCGTTTATTTTTTAAATTTGGCCCGGACATAGGTTTTTAAATCCTTGCATGTTATTGTTTTATATGTGATTTATATTTATATTAATTGTGCTTTTTGTCTTTTGTTGTGTTGTCGGGCTTGGCTTCATGTAAGCCGCTCGGAGTCCCCTTGGGGAGGTGGTGGTGGGGTATAAATAAAGTTTTACATTATATATATTATATAAACCAGGGTTCAAATTTCTGTTCTGCTGTGGAAACTAATACTCTGATATTCTATCCACTGCATCACATTGGCTTTCATAACAGGTACATTTATGTAATATAGCAGGACGATTACATAAAAGCAATATGATATCTTGATACTGATGCTTTCCCAAAACAATGAAGAATGATGACATCAAACAATGATGAACAAATGTTTGGAGAAAGCTGTTCTCATGCCATTTTTTAAGACTCTAGGTCCCAAAACCCCTCTCCACTGGCCATAATCTTTAGGGCTGAAAGGTAACTTCCATCAGCCCCAAAGAGCATGGCCACTGGAGAGGGGTTTGGGTACCTGTAATTGAGTAACACTAGAGCTCCTTCACTGCTGATGGAAGTTATGGCTTGATATTGGGGAGTGAATCAGGTGTACGAGGGTTGAATGAAAAGTAATGCCTCCATCTTCGTAACTCAACAGATGGCAGTCCTGGTATGCGGCAGGGACTGGCTTGTTCAGTAGACTCTCCTCTACAGTTCCATTTTGGCAGGAAGCCTTAGCATTGAATGGTTGTGTTCTTAAAGTGCAAAGTATGAGGGTTGAATGAAAAGTAAAGCCTCCACCTTTGTAACTCCTCAACAGATGGCTGTACTGGTATGCGGCAGGGACTGGCTTGTTCAGTAGACTCTCCTCTACAGTTCCATTTTGGCGAGAAGCCTTAGCATTGAACGGTTGTGTTGTTAAAGTGCAAAGTACGGAACTCTGTGCAGACGGTCGGTCAATGCGACTTAAGCAACGTGCAGTCATTGAATTCTTGACCTCAACATCTTTAAACTCTCTCGCCCAATGACACACAGTACTCACATCAACATAATCACCACAAACAGCTTCAATTCTGTGATGAATCTCCTTTGGGTGACACCTTCTGCTGTCAATAATTCAATGACTGCATGTTGCTTAAGTTGCATTGACTGACCGTCTGCTCAGGGTTCCATACTTCGCACTTTAACAACACAACCGTTCAATGCTAAGGCTTCCTGCCAAAATGGAACTGTAGAGGAGAGTCTACTGAACAAGCCAGTCCCTGCCGCATACCAGTACTGCCATCTGTTGAGGAGGTACGAAGGGAGGCATTACTTTTCATTCAACCCTTGTACAGAGAGAGCCAGAGTCATCTTTTCATCCTCTTCCTTTTTCTTTCCAGATGACCTCAGACTTTCTGGTCTACAGCATAACCCTCTACTATCGCCCGAATCTTGGGAATCGCCCCGTTATCATCCGAACCAGTTCAGCTGAGGTTCCAATTGAGTGTCACTACCCAAGGTGAGTGGAAGTCCTTTGCTATCAAAAAGACTTGGTCCATGCAAATGCCAATGGGATTTTGGCCTGTATCAAGAGGAGTCTAGTGCCTAGGTCCAGGGAAGTCATGCTCCCCATGCTCTATTCTGCCTTGGTTGGACCACTTTACCTCGAATCACACTGTGTCCAATTCTGGGCACCACAACTGAAGAGGGATATTGACAAGCTGGAATGTGTCCAGAGGAGGGCGACTCAAATGATCAAGGGTCTGTAGAACAAGCCCTGTGAGGAGTGGCTGAAAGAGCTGGGCATGTTTAGGCTGAAGAAGAGAAGGCTGAGAGGAGACATGATGAGGGCCATGGATCAAGAGGTGAAGGGGAGGAGGAGGGAGCAAGCAAGCAAGCTTGTTTTTTGCTGCTCTGGAGGGAGACTAGTATGCAATAGAGCAATGGCCTCAAACTACAAGAAAGGAGATTCCACCTGAACATTAGGAAGAACTTCCTGACTGTGAGAACTGTTCAGCAATGGAACTCTCTGCCCCAGGGTGTGGTGGAGGCTCCTTCTTTGGAGGCTTTGAAGCAGAGGCTGGATGGCCATCTGTCGGGGGTGCTTTGAATGCAATTTCCCTGCTTCTTGGCAAAATGAGGTTGGACTAGATGATGGCCCATGAGGTCTCTTCCAACTCTAGGATTTATGAAATGCTTTTAGTGGTTCTCAACCTGGGGTCCCCAGATGTTTTTGGCCTACAACTCCCAGAAATCCCAGCCAGTTTACCAGCTGTTAAGATTTCTGGGAATTGAAGGCCAAAAACATCTGGGCACCCCAGGTTGAGAACTACAGATAGCAAGTTGGACTAGATCCCTTCCCGCTCTGGTTCTATAGAAGTGACTTGATTTTACCTGTTTCAGGAAAGACAACGTGAGCAGCAAAGCCATCAGACCCACCTGGATTCCCTTCAGCTCTACCATTTCTTCTGAACAGAAGTTGGCCTTCTCCTTGCAACTCATGAATGGTAGGTGACAACGAGGTGGAGGCAAGAAGTGAAGAAACACTCATAGGGTGTGGAGTCAGTGACCCCTCCATCCTGCTTCCATAAACCTTGAGCCCGTAGATTAACAGAAACCCAATTTTTGATCCAAAAAATAGAAATCACTACAGTAAATAATCTATAATAATCTATCTATACACATATAAAAGTGAAAATATGTGTGTGAGTATGTGGCTGGGGTGTCCACTTACACAGATAAGCTCCACAATCAGCTATAGCTCCCACTCCTCAGGAGACCCCAAAGGCCCTCCCTCCTATAACATTGCAGGTTATAGGGGGTGCCGTAAATATGTCCAAGAACCCTGCCAACGTCCTCCACAGACACCACACTGCCCACCACCCTAGTAAAGGCATTCATTCGGGAACAATTTCCTCCTATATTTTATGTGTTTCCTCCACCACAGACATCCCAGTGTTTCTTTCTCTCTCCATTGGTGTGGAATTTGCATCACCCCGCCCACTCCCATAACCCTTTCCTATACTTTGCCAATCTGCAGCTGGGGTGCCCTCTTACACAGACAAGCTCCCGCCTCCACAGTCAGCTCTAGCTCCCACTACTCAGGAGACCCCAAAGGCATTGCAGGTTATAGGGAGTGCCGTAAACATGTCCAAGAGCCCTGCCAATGTCCTCCAGAGACACCACACTGCCCACCACCCCAGTGAAGGCTTTCATACAGGGACAATTTCCTCCTAGATGTTCTGTTTTTCCTCCACCACAGGCATCACAGTGTTTCTGCCTCTACTCATTGGTGCAGAATTTGCATGACCCCACCTACTTCCTCTCTCGTAAACTTTGCTAGTGTGTGGCTAGGATGTACTCTTACACAGACAAGCTCCTGCCTCCACAAACAGCTACAGCTCCCACTACTCAGGGGACCCCAAAGGCCCTCCCTCCAATGGCATTGCAGGTTATAGGGAGTGCCATAAACATATCAAAGAGCCCTGCCAATGTCCTCCACAGACACCACACTGCCCACCAGCCTGATAAAGGCATTCATACAGGGACAATTTTCTCCTGGATTGTATGTGTTTCCTTCACTACAGGCATCCCAGTGTTTCTTTCTCTCTCCATTGTTGTGGAATCCCTGCTCACTGCCTCTCCCTTTACCTTTATTTGTGGGAGTTGTAGTTCCCCTACATTCAGAGAGCTCTGTGAACCCAAACACTGATGGATCTGGACCAAACTTGGCACACAGACCTGATACAACAAAATTTGATTACTGGAGGGGTTTGGGGGAGGGGGGGGTTGACCTTCCTTTCTGGTAGTTGTAGTTCACTCACAACCAGAGAAACTGTGACCTCCACTGATACTGGACCTGGACCAAACTTGGCACACAGAACCCCCATGACCAACTCAAGCTACTGGAGGAGTTTGAGGGGACTGATGCATCATAGTGGGAGATGTAGTTTACTCTGGGATCAACATTGACTGACAGGCTGTGATTTATTTTCCCTGCCTTCAGGGAGACAGCAGCGAACCTTTGCTGAGTCCCTGGCTAACCATTCCCAACCATTATGGGAATTGGAAATTCATAAATATGATAATATTCCAGATTGCCATGGCTATGTCCTTTGGATTCACAGACATTCCCCACTCATGAGAACGTTTGTGGTATCTATGGATACTATCTATCAACACTTTCCTAGGAGACTGGAGTGCGGAGAGAACCTCAAACAGGTACCAGCTTGGAGAAGCCATGCACATCCAGGCCAATGTGAAGACAGACAACCATGTAGCCTTGCGGCTCTTCGTTGACCATTGTGTGGCCACTTTGAGCCCAGACATAACCTCCGCTCCCCGATATACTATTGTTGACTACAACGGGTAAGATACATTCATGTTTCCATGGTTTTTTCTTGAGTCGTGCTGATTTTTGAAGCTTCAGACCCACTTTATGAAGTTATCTCACTCTATGTTTTTTCTAGATGTTTGGTTGATGGGCGATCAGATGCCTCCAGCTCCGCCTTTGTGTCTCCGAGACCCAGAGCAGATTCTCTCCAGTTCACGATGGATGCCTTCATGTTTGCAGGAGACGCCAGGGATGCGGTGAGTGTCCAACACAAACACGGAGAACCTGAAGCTCTCCAGATATTGGATTCCATCTCTCACAAGTCCCAGTCAACATGGATATTTGGAGAGAATGGGAGTTGTAACACAATATTTGGAAACTTAAGATATCCCAACTCTTGTATAACATAAGGATGGATTCCTGCTTTTCCCATTAGTACTTCTATGTCATTGTAGTGCAGTGGTTTGAATGTTGGACTATGATTCTGAAGACCAGGGTTTGAATACTTAGGAAAGTCTTCTAATATGAAGATGCAAGTTCGCCGCTTGGGAGTGATCCTGGACTCATCGCTGAGCCTGGAACCCCAGGTCCCAGTGGTGGCTAGGAGAGCTTTTACACAATTAAAACTTTTGCGCCAGCTGCACCCGTACGTCGGGAAGTCTAATCTGGCCACAGTGGTCCATGCTCTTGTTAGATCCCAAATAGATTACTGCAACGTGCTCTATGTGGGGCTGCCTTTGAAGACTGTTTGGCAACTTCAACTAGTTCAACGGGCGGCAGCTAGACTACTCACTGGAGCATCATGCAGGGAGCATACCACCCCCCTGCTATGTCAGCTCCACTGGCTGCCAATCCAGTTCCGAGCACAATTCAAAGTGCTGGTCTTGACCTATAAAACCCTATACGGCTCCGACCCAGCGTACCTGTCCGAACGTATCTCCTTCTACGTCCCACCTGAGAATTTAAGATCTTCTGGAGAGGCTCTGCTCTTGGCCCCGCCATTGTCACAAACAAGACTGACGGGGACAAGGGACAGGGCCTTCTCAGTGGTGGCCCCCCGCCGGTGGAATTCACTCCCCAGGGAAATTAGATCATTGTCATCCCTCCTCTCTCTTAGAAGGAAATTAAAAACATGGATATGAGACTAGGCCTTTGGGTAATCTGGCAGATTGACGAGGACAATGACGATGAGAGCTTTGTAAACGGATTATGATAAGCAGAATGGAATCACTAATTACAGAACTTGGCAAAACGATGCCCACCAGGCTGGCTTCTTTTCTAGTAGATTTTATTGTATTAACTTAATGTTTAAAAAAATGTCATAAGAGGCCCAGAGTTCTTTAAGATAATAATGGCAACTCAGTGGAGACTTAAAGACTTATTATTCTCTAGTTCACTGTTTCCCAGCCTTCCTAATGCCGTGACCCCTGAATACGGTTCCTCATGTTGTGATGACCCCCAACCATCACATTATTTTCATTGCTACTTCACAACTGTCATTTTGCCACTGGTGTGAATTGTTGTGTAAATATCCGATAGGCAGGATGTATTTTCATTCACTGGACCATATTTGGCACAAATACCCAATATGCCCAAATTTGAATACTGGTGGGGATTGTGGGGGGAGATTGATTTTGTCATTTGGGAGTTGTAGTTGCTGGGATTTATAGTTCACCTACAATCAAAGAGCATTCTGAACTCCACCAATGATGGAATGGAACCAAACTTGGCACACAGAACTCCCATGACCAACAGAAAATACTGGAAGGGTTTGGTGGGCATTGACCTTGAGTTGTGGAGTTGTAGTTCACCTACATCCAGAGAGCACTGTGGACTCAAAACAATGATGGATCTGGACCAAACTTGGCATGAATACTCAATATGCCCAAATGTGAACACTGGTGGAGTTTGGGGGAAATAGACCTTGACATTTGGGAGTTGTTGCTGGGATGTTTAAAAAGGTAAAGGTAGTCCCCTGACATTAAGTCCAGTCATGTCTGACTCTGGGGTGTGGTGCTCATCTCCATTTCTAAGCCGAAGAGCCAGCGTTGTCCGTAGACACCTCCAAGGTCATGTGGCCGGCATGACTGCATGGAGTGCCGTTACCTTCCCGCTGGAGCGGTACCTATTGATCTACTCACATTTGCATGTTTTCAAACTGCTAGGTTGGCAGAAGCTAGGGCTGACAGCGGAAGCTCACGCCGCTCCCCGGAATCGAACCTGCGACCTTTCGATCAACAAGCTCAGCAGCTCAGTGCTTTAACCCACTGCGCCACCGGGGCAGTGTGTGTATAATCAAAGAGCATTCTGAACCACACCAATGATAGAATTTAGCCATAGTTTCCACACAGAACCCCTATGCCTTGAAGGGATTCGCTGGCATGAGCCTCCCTCCAGCCTTGCATGCTCGTCCACACATGTGCACCACGCTGCCATGTGCCCTAAATCCCAGCAACTACAATTCCCAAATGACAAAACCCCACCAGTATTCGAATTTAGGTGTATTGGGTATTTGTGCCAAATTTGGTCCAGTGAATGAACATGCATCCTGCATATCAGATATTTACATTATGATTCATGACAGTAGGGCACATGTGTTGACCTTGTATCAATACAAGCCTTCTAAGCTAAGAGCTGGGGTCGGAATTTACCATCTACGGAAGAAACATCTCTCTGGACTCGTCCTCCTGCGCCTACCCACCAGGCCTGGCTCATTCCATATTGGCCTTGAGGTAGTCCACAGTTGCCAGCCTCACAACAGCCGCAAACATCACTAGCGCCTTCGACTGGAAGCCACCTGCCACGAACCAGGGCGAGGAAATTACTGTTGTGAAGTAGCAACGAAAACAATTTTTATGGTTGGGGGTCACCACAACATGGGGAACTGTGTTAAGGGGTTGCGGCATTAGAAAGGTTGAGAACCACTGCATTAGACCCATATTCCTGAGAGATCCCTCCCTGAGGGCCCTTCCTTGTCTTTCAGATCTACATAACCTGCCACTTGAAAGTCACAGCAGCGGACCAAGCCCCGGATGCCCTGAACAAGGCTTGCTCTTTCAATAGAGCAAGTAACAGGTGAGGAGGAGGGCCAGGGAAGGAGGGAAGGTCAAGGCAGGGTTGCAAGAGGCAACGCGGAACAGAAAGCAAAAAGAACGCCGTAATGCAAGAGTGACTTGCTTTTCTTTCCTCGCCCTGGTTCGTGGCAGGTGGCTTCCAGTCGAAGGCGCTAGTGATGTTTGCGGCTGTTGTGAGGCTGGCAACTGTGGACTACCTCAAGGCCAATATGGAATGAGCCAGGCCTGGTGGGTAGGCGCAGGAGGACGAGTCCAGAGAGATGTTTCTTCCGTAGATGGTAAATTCCGACCCCAGCTCTTAGCTTAGAAGGCTTGTATTGATACAAGGTCAACACAGCCTCATTGGAAAGGGTTCTGGACTTGTTTCCTATGCAGATGATCCTCCAGCAGAGAAAATAGAGGCTGATGTTGTGCTTGGACCAGTGATCTTGGATGACCCAAAGACTTTACTTCCTCATCCGGAAGCCCAGGGGAGAATGGCACTAATGGCCAAAGGTAAGGCTGTCATTTGGTGGTGCGCAATCGTTCGGACAGTCAGGGTTCTCGAGCTAATCCAGGAGTAATAATCTATATAAATAAAAATGTAAGGTCCGTTTGTGGGATTAACAGAACTCAAAAACCACTGGACGAACTGACACCAAATTTGGACAGCATACACCTAACAACCCAGTGTATGTCCTTCACTCCAAAAAAAAAAAATGATTTTGTCATTTGGAAGTTGTAGTTGCTGGGATTTATAGTTCACCTACAATCAAAGAGCACGCTGAACTCCACCAATGATGGAATTGAACCAAACTTGGCACACAGAACTCCCACGACCAACAGAAAATACTGGAAGGGTTTGGTGGGCATTGACCTTGAGTTTGGGAATTGTAGTTCACCTACATCCAGAGAACACTGTAGACTCAAACAGTTATGGATCTGGACCAAACTTGGCACAAATATTCCATATGCCTAAATGTGAACACAGATGGAATTTGGGGAAAATACACCTTGACATTTGGGAGTTGTAGTCACTGGGATTCACAGATCACCTACAATCAAAGAGCATTCCGAACCCCAGAAAATACTTAAGGCCATCCAATCCAACTCCCTTCATCAGGGCAAGAAAACGTAATAAAAGACCTCCTGACAAAGAGCCATCCAGCGATAGATAGATAGATATGATTCTCTCTCTCTCTCTCTCTCTCTCTCTCTCTCTCTCTCTCTCTCACACACACACACACACACACACACACACACACACACACACACACACACACACACACAGATATAGTACCATAGATTTGGAAGGTACCCCTAAAGAAGGATAATATGTTGCCTGTTCCAGAGTAGGCAAACCAGACGCTCTCCACATCAACACTGACAAAGAAACAGCAAGAAATACCGTTTACCCACAAACAGAAAGAAATTACATAAGTCATAAACCAACACTTTCTAATTACTTTATTTCCAGATCACCAGACTGTGCCACAGCAACGCGTGGCAGGGCACAGCTAGTAATCTATATAAATAAAAATGTAATGTCTGTTTGTGGGATTAACAGCACTCAAAAACCACTGGATGAACTGACACCAAATTTGGACACAAGACACCTCTCAGGCCAAAGAGTGACCATCACTCAGAAAAACAAAAAACACACAGTGGAAGGGACATAAAACCCAAAAAACCAAAAAGACATTACAGCGCATGTGTGAAAATGACTCCCTGCAAGGCTCACTTCCCAGCAATGCCCAGGCAAGAGGTAGAGAGAAAAGGATAGAAAAAAAGGGAAAGAGGGAGGGAGGGAAGAAAGGAGAGAAAGAAAGAGGGAGGGAAAGAAAGATAGAGAGAAGGAAGGATGGATGCAAAGGAAGGAAGGGAAGAAAGAGGTAGAGAAGGAAGAAAGGAGAGAAAGAGAAGGGGAATAAAAAGGGGGGAAGGAAGGAAGGAGAGAAGGAAAGAAAAAAGGGGAAGGAAGGAAAGAGGGAGGGAAGATTGGCCACAGCAACACGTGGTGGGTACAGCTAGTCTATATAAATAAAAATGTAATGTCCATAACTCAAAACCCATTGGACAAGCTGACACCAAATTTGGATACAATACACCTAACAACCCAATGTATGTCCTTCACTCAAAAAAATTGATTTTGTAATTTGGGAGTTGTAGTGGCTGGGATTTATTGTACACCCACAATCAAAGGGCATTCTGAACTCCACCAATGATGGAACTGAACCAATCTTGGGACACAGAACTCCCATGATCAACAGAAAACACTAGAAAGGTTTTGTGGGCATTGACCTTGAGTTTGGGAGTTGTAGTTCACCAACATCCAGACAGCACTTTGGACTCAAACAATGATGGGTCTGGACCAAACTGGGCATGAATATTCCATATGCCCTAATATGCACACAAATGGAGTTTGGGGGGAAATAGACCTTGACATTTGGGAGTTGTAGTTGCTGGGATTTCTAGTTTACCTACAATCAAAGAGCATTCTGAACCCCGCCAACGACAGAATTGGGGCAAACTTCCCACACAGAACCCCCATGGCCTACTTATCCACAAGCAGAAAGACATTACATATATTAGAAACCAACGCTTTCCAATAATTTTATTTTCGAGATCAGCAGACTGGGCCACAGCAACGCCTGGCAGGGGACGGCTAGTAACATAATAACATTTTATTTATATTCTGCTGTATCGCCCCGAGGGGACTCAGGGCAGACTCTAGCATATATGTATTTATTTACATTTATTTATTTATATATATAAATACAGGCAAACATTCAATGTCTTGAAACAATGAAACACAAATACACAAACACAGGCAAAGGCTTCCCCTTTCATCTCCCGCTCTGGAGGCAGTGCTCATCTCCATTTCCAAGCTGAGGAGCCTGCGTTGTCCTGAGACACCTCCTGGTCGTGTAGCCAGCATGACCGCATGGCGCACCATTTACTTTCCCACCAAGGCCTTACCTATTGATCTACTCACCATTGTATGTTTATGAGCTGCTGGGTTGGCATATGTTGGGGCTAACAGCGGGAGCTCACCCTGTCCCATGGAATCGAATAGCCAACCTTCAGGTCAGCAGCTCAAAACATAGAATTGGAGGAGGCCTCATGGGCCATTCAGTCCAACCCCATTCTGCCAAGAAGCAGGAAAATTGCATTCAAAGCACCCCTGACAGATGGCCACCCAGCCTCTGTTTCAAAGCCTCCAAAGAAGGAGCCTCCACCACACTCCGGGGTGGAGAGTTCCACTGCTGAACAGGACTCAGTCATCAAACTTCTTACTGTCTCCTACCAATTGTCATCTTCAGGTATCCGTGCCAAGTTTGTGTTTATAATGCTGGGGCTCGCCATCGCAACTACCCTTCTCGCGTTGGCTTCGGTGACTCTGGTGCTCGTTCTGGTCTGCAAGAAAAGCCGGACTCAACTCAACTGTGATCTGTCGTGACCAATTTTGAAATGTAAAGCAAGAAAACAAAATAAAATGGACTTTATAAGTGTGGTCTGATGTCCCTTCAGTAATGATAATTACAGTAATAGCATGTGGGAGTATGTAGTAGTAGTAGTAATAATAATAATAATATTATTATTACAACAACAACAATAAACTTTATTTATATTCTGCTCTACCTCCCCGAGGGGACTCAGAGCAGATTACAATGTACACATATATAGGCAAACATTCAATGCTTTTTATATAGTAAACAACAATGACATAGAATACACAAGGCAAGGTGTTGGCTTCTGTTCTGGCAGGACTGTGCCAGGGGTTTGAATTCCCTTTTTCTTTGCTTGTTTGCATGAATTCCTGTAGGCTATGCATTTTGCAATTTGGTAGCTTCCAACTGCAACCGTACCTCGTGAAGTCTGACTTGGTCACGGTGGTCCACGCCTTGGTTGTGTCCAGATTGGACTATTGCAGTGCACTCTATGTGGGGCTGCCCTTGAAGACAGCCCAGAAATTCCAACTCTACACAGGTTGGCAGCCAGGCTTCTACCTGGAGCAAATAATAGGGAGTACACAATACCCCTACGAAAGCAGCTTCACTGGTGGTCAATAAGTTGCCGGACCCTATTCAAAGTGCAGGTTATGACCTATAAAGTCCTAAAGGCAAGGGCAAGGCCAAGGCAGCCTTCAACTGGGTGCTGGGTAGCAAGGTGCGTGTGGAGGACAGCCTTCACCTGGGTGCTGGGTAGAGAGGTGCGTGTGGAGGACAGCCTTCACCTGGGTGCTAGGCAGCTTGGTGTTTGGGGAGGACATTGGCGGGCTTGGGAGACATGTTCATGGCGCTTGCTGTAACCTACTATACAATATCCCAGAATACTTGTAGGGTATCAGAACAAACGCAAAACTATCTATGTAATGAGAAAGTATAATATCAAAAGAGTATATAGTATACAATTTACCAAAATCCCCAGTACATAGCTCAGTTCAGTGGCATAAAGCAAAATCAAAAGGAGCAGCCGCTCTCAAATGCAACAGTTCTAGGTCTGAATAAGGGTTCCACTATATATAGGCTTCAGGGATACATTCAATAGGAAAATTATTTAAACAAAGTAAGCATTGTGTCATGAGGCTATATGTAGACTGAAGACAATAATGAAGATGGAGCACCACTCTCAAAAAAAATCTTCATGGATAAAATCCAAGTTAAGTCCAGTGAAAATGGAGCACTGCTTCTCAAAAAAAGTCTCTGAAGGAAAAGTCCAAATAGCATTCAACAGGGGTGCCTGGGTATTTTTGTACCCTGTTTCGGGGAAAGAAATCCCCTTCCTCAGGAGTTGATATAATCAGCAGCTCTAGACTCATATCTACAACATAACAACATAACATAACATACATAACATAACAAACATAACATAGTAACAAGTATTTTCCAGCAAAATTACAGAAGTAAAGATAATCCATACATCAAATATATAGTCACATCATGCCAGATAGCTTTTACAAAAAGTGACTCTGCTTGTAGTAAATTCACACTGCGAGTAATTCCGAAGGTTCATCCACCGGTTTATAAAGAGTAATTAGAAACTTAAAGGAAACAGCTAAAATTAATGCATCACCCCAAAACCCCATATGGACTTGGAAAAACTATTATCCCAAAGGGAAATGTACTGGATCTTTAAGTTGAAAACCTTTTCCCCTCAGGGACTTAATTAGTCACTTAATTTTAATTTCAACAAAGTTTTTATTGTTGCTTAAATTTTCAATAAATCAAACAAATACTTCAAGGCTTTGAATCAACTGGTAGCTTGCTTAAATCTTGTCCACAAGGGACAGGCAACTTTCTTCATACACTGTTTCTTCCTTCTACAAGGGAAATCCTTCACCCCTCCCTGGGCAATCTAACTTAAGCTTTGCTGGCGTTGCACCCCTACACCCGGTCCAAATTGTGTTATGGCTGCTGCAAGAGGTCCTTACCAGGCCAAAGTCTCTGTGTAGATTTCCAAGAGGAAAGAAGTCCTTTGTTTCCCAGCGAAGGCTGGCTGTAGAGTTGTGGAACTAAATTCCCCAACAAAGGCTATGCTGTAATTCTCTGTAGAGCTGTGGGACTGGATCCCCCCAGCAAAGCTATAAAAGACAAAGCTTTCTACAGGGTGAACTGATTCACGTCCTGTACAAAAGGCTTCTCTGTGTGAACTGAACTAGAGGTCCCCTTTTCCCCTCCTTAATCCAGAAAAAGGGGCGGAACTAAAGAACATAATGATAATTGATGGGTCCTTGGCCCTATGATTGCAAACCAAGGGAAGCTACCTTATTGCAAAATGCATGGAACTTTGGAATACATGCAAACACTCAATAGAAAGGAAAAGAAGTTGGAGCTCCTGGTACAGCTGTACCAGCACAGATTGTTTTGTGCTTGCTGTAACCTGCAATGTCTTTCCAGGGAATGCTCTGGTGGCTCCTCAGCGCTGTGGGTTAAAGCTGTTTGTGGAGGCGGGAGGCTATCTGTGTAACTGGACATCTCGTCCACATACACACATACACACATGTTCACATTTTTACTTTTATTATGTGTATAAATTTATTTATTTATTATATTACTTATTCTATTACTATTTATTTATTTATTATACTACTAATGACTAATGACTAAATCAAGTTTCCTATAAAGTAACAAATGCCAAACAACAATATTAAAATGACTACAAGCAAAACTTCCAATGTCTACAAACAGCTGGCTGTGCCAAAGCTGGATATGGATTGTACATGGCTCTTGATGGAAAATGTCTTAAGATGCCTTTAAAAAAACCTTTCTTCTCTCATTTGTTTTGCAAGCTGCATCTCTTTCTGTATCAGCTCTTTCAGTTCCTGAGGGCGTCGACCATTTGAATGTCCACTCTCCATGCTCTTCGTGACCGCAAAGATTCCCTCCTCTTTGTCCACAATGTCTGTCTCAGCCTTGAGGTGAAGGTCTTGGTCTTCTTTAGGAGCCCTTGGAGCATTCCTTACGATTTTGATCAGGTCCTCAATCAAGTTCAAGATGTCTGCTCCAGAAGATTTATGCTCCGGGACGTCCATGAGTTTGCCTTCATTGCCCTGAGACTTTCTAGTGAGCTTGAGTTTTTTCAGGTAGAATTTTTTAATGTCGGTTGAAGACCTCACTGGATTAACC